TTTTACTTCTGTCCTTCGGATAACAAAGTAGTCTTCGATGAATTAGTGAGTCGAGTAATTCAGGCTTCGATGGTCTTCTTAGGGCTTAATAATTGAATTATAAATGTTCCTAGTTTAAAATGTGTTCACTGAGTGATTTTCACTTCCATGTCCTTCGGACTGCGAAGTAGTCTTCGATGAATACCTATTAATGAGTCGAGTGATATAAGTTCTGATAGTCTTAGGGCTTAATAATTGAATTATAAATATTCCTGGTTTGAAATGTGTTTGCTGAGTGATTTTTACTTCCATGTCCTTCGGACTGCAAAGTAGTCTTCGATGAATTAATGAGTCGAGTGATTCAGGCTTCGATGGTCTTCTTAGGGCTTAATAATTAAATTATAAATGTTCCTGGTTTGAAAAGTGTTCGCTGAGTGCTTTTTACTTCCATGTCCTTCGGACTGCGAAGTAGTCTTCGATGAATTAATGAGTCGAGTGATTCAGGCTTCGATGGTCTTCTTAGGGCTTAATATTTGAATTATAAAAGTTCCTGGTTTGAAATGTGTTCGCTGAGTGATTTTTACTTCCTTGTCCTTCGGACTGCGAAGTAGTCTTCGATGAATACCTATTAATGAGTCGAGTGATATAAGTTCTGATAGTCTTAGGGCTTAATAATTGAATTATAAATATTCCTGGTTTGAAATGTGTTTGCTGAGTGATTTTTACTTCCATGTCCTTCGGACTGCGAAGTAGTCTTCGATGAATTAATGAGTCGAGTGATTCAGGCTTCGATGGTCTTCTTAGGGCTTAATGATTGAATTATTCCGATGAGAGCGCGTTCCATGCCAGCTGACGAAGGCGTGGGCCGTGTTTATGTTCGAAGGAACATTTGAGCAAGGTGTACTAGGATCGTATCGATTCTGCTGGGCTGTAAAGTGAATTCGAAGGCTAACGCTTACTCAATCCGAGCGACTTTCCCTTTGAGAATGTGTTACGAGGCTCTAGAAATATTGAATAAATAAGGCCGGGTGGAATGTCGCGCATTGCGTAAATGATATTAAAAACGACGTTTACGCACTCGACGGATGCAATTCAAATCGTGTCCAGTCTGCGGCTGCGCCCCCAAGGCTGAGCAGGATTTTTGAAAAATCGGAAAACCTGCAGCGAGATGAAAAATGATAAGTTACTTCCTCGCCGCGGGAGTTTATCATTCGCCTCTTGCGTGTCCTTTCTCGCAAACACACCCTGAAAGAAAAATACCTAACCTGAACAGTTTGAGGCTGTTAAGGTGAAGTGAAACCCCCCTTCAAATCAGTCGATTCGAATACAACACTTTTTTTTAAGGGTATTGGACCAAATTCTCCGAAACTTTGACACATGACTCCTGATCATCTAAGAATTATCCTGACACATTCGAAATTTGGATTTTTGGAAAAAATTATTTAACTCAGTCCAGGCCAGAACCAAAATGGCGTCGGGCTCTTATATTTCGATCGATATACAATTATCGAAGGGTCTGATATGAGAATCGAAAGGGTCAGGACAATTTTACGACAATTTAGAACACTCTGGTAATCGATAAACTCGCATTTGAACGGGATAAAGGCAAAAAAAGTGTTGTATGCGCTTCTATGCCAAAACGATGGTAATACGAGGTCTCGGAGTGAAAATTTAATTGACCTGGAAATCACAGATGGCGCAGGGGGTCCCTCTGCAGTCAATTAGGGCCTCAGAAAGCATGAATCCAGAGGATTTCTGGAGTTTTACTTCGATTTCTTTATAATTATTGTACGAAAACGACATATAGGGTATGTCATTTAGTCCAATAATCAATATAATACGACAAGGCTGTCCACATAAAGACCAACATCGGCAACGTAGGTATTTAGAAAAATCTTCTTTATCGATGTCGATCAAATTTCTGTTTCTCACTTCACCTTAGAGTTGTTGAAAAGTAAACGAAATGCGTCAATTCGCAATTTTGCCGATTTGACGCAATTTTTGTGCTCTAATATGAGGAACGAAAGGGTCAGGATAATTAAACGACAATTTAGAACACTCTGGTAATCGATAAACTCGCATTTGAACGGGATAAATGCAAAAAAAGTGTTGTATGCGCTTCTATGCCAAAACGATGGGAATACGAGGTCTCGGAGTGAAAATTTAATTGACCTGGAAATCACAGATGGCGCAGGGGGTCCCTCTGCACTCAATTAGGGCCTCAGAAAGCCCGAATCCAGAGGATTTCTGGAATTTTACTTCGATTTCTTGATATTTATTGTACGAAAACGACAAGTGGAGTATGCCATTTGGTACAATACCCAATATAATTCGGTACAGCTGTCGATATAAAAACGAACGTCGGCAACGTAGGCATTTAGAAAAATCTTCTTTATCGACGTCGATCAAGTTCCTCGACGTGTTTCACTTCACCTTAAGGTTACAACAATACTTTGACCCGCGAGCATACGTAATGATTACAATATTATTTTTCTGCGTAATAGAAAACGAAATGTTTTCTCCATCTATAAGAGAAGTATGACGAAAACACGTGGAGCTAATATTATAGAAAAATGTAATATAAAAAAAAGTAATATTCTATAGTAAATGTTTTGCAAATATTTAAAATCTGTGTTAAGTATTTACAAAATGTATGATATTCGATAAATATACAGAAAATATAAGAGGAATATTTTGTGCTGATGGAGCAGTCAGTGGATAATGAATTAAATAGGTTATGTTTCAATTAGGATTATTTTCTCCTCGGACTTGTCGAGCTTGCCTTCCTTATCTCTGGTTTTCTTTTTTGCAAAACGTGTTTTCCTTTTTTTTTCCTTTATACGCCTTTTTATGCTTTTTAATGTACTCCCTGGTGAACGAGGCCAACGAGAATCTAACCATGAACAATGTTCATTAATAACGTGTGACAATGCGTTATCGCGGCGCAAGTTATTACATGGTTTACGAAACTGTTTTATCTATCGGTCTTTTTTGCAATTCGACTTTACAAAAGACTCCCCAGATGTTGATACACGATGTCGATAGAGTAATCTACCAGTACCGATAAACCTTTGTTTGAGACATTTCATTCCAGTACGGCAAAAAACAAGATACTTAAACGAGGAATTAATTCTTTATCCCACCCAAGCCACATCGGAGCTTAATCAATACTAATTAAAAATAGCCAACATTTGTAAAAACAGAGGGTGCAGTGTTATTAACGCTGATAGTTGTTAACAATTTGCCATTTAATTTATATCAAAGCTAATATTCCACGCTTAATGGTTAGTAATTTGGTTTTTAACAAATCAGAACGTTTATTACGTATTTTTGACGAGAGCGCTCACTTCTCGCATTTTCATCTCACGTGGGTTTATTCGCCGAATTACGTACTCGCTATAGGGTAATTCCGGGATATATGGACCACCGGTATAGACGGACTAGTCGAATATTTGGCTGGGGTGTCACAGCAGCGCTGCAGTCGTCGTCTGAAGTTGTTCTTCTTGAGTAGACGGAACCACGCTTAGTTTTGCTCATGAGTTTCATGCGTATTTTAGAAGAAACCTTTCTTTATTTCTTTTGGTGAGTTGAAAAATATTTTATACTGGATTTATTTGATATGTGGTTAAGTTAGTTTAAATGATTTCGACGTAAGATCAATCCTATAACTCAAGTGTATACTTGAGTACAATCTTAACCTAAAATGGCATGCTGGTAGCGTTGTTTGTCTGGACGGGAAACTGGTCCATCTATCCCCGACAATTGGGATAGGTGGACTACTTGAAAAAACCTGGGATAGGCGGACCATGTCTCCTATTAGGGCTTTACTTTCTATATAAATGGATATATGGATGAATGGATGGATGGATCTGAATATAAATCAGACTACCTATATTTTCTAAGTATATTGACTATCAAATTTACTTATCCTTTTTCAAATAGTTTATAACTCTATACTAATCACTTTTCAAGCAGTTTATAACTTTATACTTTGAAATAAACAATGTTTATACCTTTGATAACATGAATTTCTTGTGTTACACCCTGATTTAGTAACGTATACCAGAGGTCCATCAATCCCTAGGAGGTGGTCCATCTAACCCGAGTACCCCCGAGATAGATGGACCACCGAGTAAAAAAAAAAGAAAAAAATCATAACTTCAAGTGTGATTAGTGTAACAGCTGGAGAAGTGCTTACAATTGTTCAAGGTCATATATACATATTATAAAAAAATATACCAAATCCTAGACATCGCGAAGTTTCAGAAAAAATGACTTTAAAAAAACATGGTCCAACTATCCCGGACTTACCCTATGAAAAAACGAGATCACTAACATTTCCGGTTTAGTAATATTGCAAATAAAGGTATATAGCTTGGTATATAGGTATATACCTGGCAGATAAAGGTATATACCTTGGCATATAGGTATATATCTAGCAAATAAAGGTTATTGGCATTGTACACTGGGAGACATCAATGCCCTCCCACCCTGCACAGGCGATGCCGTATCTGCAGGGGAGGCATTCATATCCGCCATTGTACCTATATACCATACCTTGGCATATAGGTATATATCTGGCGAATAAAAATTAAACCTTGTAAATCGTAAATTGTTGAGAGGTAGGGGGTTATAGGCAAGAAAGGCGGGAAGATGGAAAGCCGTTGAAAGTAAAGAAGAGGACTCGAGTCTATCTATATTTTTTAAATGTGTATTACATTCATATTTACATGCACTATAATTAGAAGTTCAACGATATAATTTTCTTATCGGGTCGTGTAAGCATGAATTATTTAACAGTTTTCAATGTTTAATAACGTAACATAAACTCGCAATAACAAAAACTAACCTGTACAACTTAGTACATTCTCTTTCTTATAACGAAAATCGGTCCGAGGCATCACGTAATTCCCTTTTTCTTCTAATAAGGTTATTATTACGTCCCCGAATACGATTGAGGCAATTGCACATGTCGCTATTTTTCGAATGTACAACAATAACCATCATATCGTTGATTACAGAGCCCTTCTCCGACTGGCTGGAGGAGAAGACGGACCTGCCGATCTTCGAGGAGCTCTCTGTGCCAGATTACGGGTACAACAAGCCGATAGTATACCAGGAGTTGGCGAAGCAGCCGTTGCAGCACCACCAGCATCACCAGCATCACCAGCATCACCATCAGCAACAGCAGCAGGACACCACGCAAAGTCTGCTCCAGGAGTTCGAGTCAGTCCTCGGGGACGTGGAGGCTTGCCACCAGATATCATGCGGAGTGTGTCCGACCTTAACCCCCCCTCAATCGCCACCCCCGCGGAAGGGGACGACCCCGGACATCCAGCTGCTGGCCACGCTGCAGCCCGTGGAGATCGTCCCCGCCGGTAATCCTCTCCAGAACGTGAATTACTGGAACCCCGAGATCATCTCGCTGACGCCGCTGGTGTCGGACCCGGTCAGCGAACTTGCCGAGGTCGACGCTTTCGTCCTCTCCTGCGCAGACGAGGCTGCGCCGATCAGCCCGAGCACCAGCTCGGCGGGTGGCGGGTCTACCTCCTCCGACGACAACGCGGACGACCCTGATTGGACGCCCCTCGCGGACCATGGCGACGGCGGCCGCCATCTTGGATCCCAGCCGGGCCAATCGGCGCCCTCCGACGACTCCATGGACGCCCCTGATTGGTCCACTCGACATCAGCGCCGCGATGCCAAAGCTCTGGGGCTGGGTAAGCAAAATATACCCTAGATGATTTACCTCCGGGTTTATAGTAAGTTACTAGGGATTTTATTTTCCAAGTGGGTAAGCAAAATGTACGCTAGGTGATTTGCCTAGCGGCTTTATAGTAAGTTACTAGGGATTTTATTTTGCAAGTGGGTAAGTAAAATACCCTAGGTGATTTACGTAATGCTTTTACAGTAAATTACTAGGTACTTACCATTTGCGAAGTAGAAACTTTGTAAATGGGTAAGTAAAATACTCTAGGTGTTTTATGTAGAATTTTTGTAGTAAATTACTAGGTATTTTACTTTTCAAATGAGTAAGTAAAATTTCCTAGGTGATTTACGTAGTGTCTTTACAGTAAATTATAGTAAATTACTAGGTATTTACTTTTCAAATGAGTAAGTAAAATTTCCTAGGTGATTTACGTAGTGTCTTTACAGTAAATTATAGTAAATTACTAGGTATTTTACTTTGGAAGTGGGTAAGTAAAATACCCTAGGGTATTTACGTAATGTTTTTATAGTAAATTACTAGGTACTTACCCATTTGCGAAGTAGAAACTTTGTTAATGAGTAAGTAAAATACCCTAGGTGTTTCACGTTGTGTATTTATAGTAAATTACTAGGTATTTTATTTTGCAAGTGGATAAGCAAAATATACCCTAGATGATTTACCTAGCGGGTTTATAGTAAATTACTAGAGATTTTACATTGCAAGTGGGTAAGCAAAATATACCCTAGATGATTTACTTAGCGGTTTTATAGTACGTTACTAGGGATTTTATTTTGCAAATGGGTAAGTAAAATACCCTAGGCTATTTATATAATGTTTTTACAGTAAATTACTAGGTACTTACCCATTTGCGAAGTAGAAACTTTATAAATGGGTAAGTAAAATACCCTAGGTGTTTTACGTAGTGTTTTTGTAGTAAATTACTAGGTATTTTGCTTTTCAAATGAGTAAGTAAAATTTCCTAGGTGATTTACGTAGTGCCTTTACAGTAAATTACTAGATATTTTATTGTGTAAATGAGTAAATAAATACCCTAGATGATTTACGCATTGTCTTTACAGTAAATGACTAGGTACTTTACTTAAGAATGAGTACCTACGGTATTTTACTTACCCATTTATAGAGTAAACTACGTAGTAATTTCCCTATGTTTTTTACAGTAAAATACCCTATGTAATTGACCTAGTTCTTTATACTAAATTACCAAGTATTTTACATTACAAATGGGAAGGAAAATGTCCTAGGTGATTTACATAGTGTTTTTACACTAATTTACTAGATATTTAACTGTGCAAATGAGTAAATAAAATTCCCTAGATGATTTATTTACTGTCTTTACAGTAAATCACTAGGTATTTTAGTTTGCAAATGGGTAAGTAAAATACCCTAGGTGATTTACGCAGTGTTAATATGTTACTTACGGTATGTTTCATAGTTCCCCTGTCTGATCTTATGTTACTGGGAATTTTCTAACTCTCCGCAGCGCCATCTGAGGACTCATCGGACGGCCCCGATTGGTCCGCCGGCTCCGCCAATCAGCGCCGCGCAGCGGCCGGCAAGAGTAGCCGCGGCGTTTCCCCTGGAGACTCGACCGACGACCCTGATTGGACGCCTGCAGGCGGCGCTACCGGCGAGCGCCGCTCCAGTGGAAACTCCAGGGTTCGGGGATGCCCCTACTCGCGGCCCTCCGTCGAGGACAAGAAGTTCCGGAAAAAGGAGCAGAACAAGAACGCCGCCACTCGGTACCGGCAGAAGAAGAAGCAGGAGATCGAGGAGATCCTCGGGGAGGAGAAGGAACTGGCTGACCGGAACGAGGAGCTCAGAGGGAAGGTCAAGGATCTCCAGAGGGAGATTGGGTATCTGAAGGGTCTCATGAGGGACCTCTTCAAGGTTAAGGGTTTCCTTAATTGACGGCTCTTGGGTGCTTCTCAAGGGTTGCTCTGATTTAGAGGTTTATTCGTGCATATTCCAGGCGTGCAGATCGTTGCGCGGTTCGCACGTGCATTTGCTTCCGTAAGTTTTAACAAATGACTAATGTTTCCGATTGGTAGACACCTTCAGCTTTGATCCTTCGTTCTGCAAAGGGTCGACTCTGGTGGGGAACTTTTCATGAGGCTGGGGAAACGTCCATGCTGGAAAACCAAGATAATGGGTATCAGGCGACGCGTTTTCGCAAGGGAAATTTTTTAGTTTGGTTTGGCCACTCGATTCGCTAGAAATGGTGTGATGAATTCATGAAACAATGCTTAACCTGCGTCGAAAAACGCGCCACGCTCGGGAGAGTTTCGAACCAAATACATTTTTGGGCGAAAAACGCGCCACGCTTGGTAAAGTTTCGAACCAAATACATTTTTGAGTGAGAAACGCGCCATGCTTGGTAGAGTTTCGAACCAGATACATTTTTAGGCGAGAAACGCGCCCCGCTTGGTAGAGTTTCGAGCCAAATACATTTTTGGGCGAGAAACGCACCACGCTCGGTAGAGTTTCGAACCAAACACGTTTTTGGTTGAAAAACGCGCCACGCTCGATAGAGTTTCTAACCAAACACGTTTTTGGTTGAAAAACGCGCCACGCTTGGTAAAGTTTCGAACCAAATACATTTTTGGGCGAAAAACGCGCCACGCTTGGTAAAGTTTCGAACCAAATACATTTTTGGGCGCGAAATGCGCCACACTTGGTAGAGTTTCGAACCAAATACATTTTTGGGCGAGAAACGTGCCACGCTCGGTAGAGTTTCGAACCAAATACGTTTTTGGGCGAGAAACGCGCCCCGCTCGGTAGAGTTTCGAACCAAATACATTTTTGAGCGTTCGAACGAGACGCTACAGAGTTCTATACAGTAAGGATTGAGATTTGAGTACTGGGGGAAATGGAAATATAATTTCTTCATTGTCCCAGCTAAAGAAATAAACTTTCGAGCAACGCAAAAAATCCAGGAAAAAATGGGAAATTTTTTGAAATAGAAAGTGAAGATACTTTAATGTGACATTTTCCTGGGACTTCAAGCGGAGACGTTTCCGCGGTCGAGCCGTTCTTTTTGGTTAGGATTTCTTTTTGTCTCTCTGTTATCGAAATGGTTGCTGTCCTGTCGTCTTTTTAGAAGCAATCGTCGTCGACTGTCACCAATAATGCACTTTATCGCTAGTTGTAATCTAATAATTGAAAGGAAGTTGTAAATTTTATGTGGGAACAGAGTGACGATGGAACGGTCCTATGAAGCTCTTCGGGGTGGAAACTTACCGATTCCATTGTTGCTCGGCAATTCGGAGTACTTACCGACTTACTTGGTTCGATTCCGAGAACTTTTGTTAGACTTAATGTCTCATATGTTTTGCTACCCTGGATCTGTATCGGAGGAGAAATAAATTGGTTAAATCGAACACGAAGGACTCTTCGTCGACTTTTTCACTTGGATTGAAAACCACCTTTACAGAGATTCACGCTTAAGGTGAAGTGAAACACGTCGAGGAACTTGATCGACGTCGGTAAAGAAGATTTTTCTAAATGCCTACGTTGCCGACGTTGGTTTTTATATTGACAGCTGGGTCGAATTATATTGGATATTGTATCAAATGGCATACTCCACCTGTCGTTTTCGTACGATAAATATCAAGAAATCGAAGTAAATCTCCAGAAATCCTCTGGATTCGTGCTTTCTGGGGCTCTAATTGACTGCAGAGGGACCCCCTGCGCCATCTGTGATTTCCAGGTCAATTAAATTTTCACTCCGAGACCTCGTATTCCCATCGTTTTGGCATAGAAGCGCATAAAACACTTTCTTTGCCTTTATCCCGTTCAAATTCGAGTTTATTGATTACCAGAGTGTTCTAAATTGTCGTTTAATTCTCCTGGCCCTTTCGTTCCTCATATTAGAGCACAAAAATTGCGTCAAATCGGCAAAATTGCGAATTGACGCATTTCGTTTACTTTTCAACAACTCTAAGGTGAAGTGAGAAATAGAAATTTGATCGACATCGATAAAGAAGGTTTTTCTAAATACCTACGTTGCCGATGTTGGTCTTTATGTGGACAGCCTTGTCGAATTATATTGATTATTGGACTAAATGACATACCCTATATGTCGTTTTCATACAATAATTATAAAGAAATCGAAGTAAAACTCTAGAAATCCTCTGGATTCGTGCTTTCTGGGGCCCTAATTGACTGCAGAGGGACCCCCTGCGCCATCTGTGATTTCCAGGTCAATTAAATTTTCACTCCGAGACCTCGTATTCCCATTGTTTTAGCAATGTAGCGCATCCAACACTTTTTTTGCCTTTATCCCGTTCAAATGCGAGTTTATTGATTACTAGAGTGTTCTAAATTGTCGTAAAATTGTCCTGACCCTTTCGATTCTCATATCAGAGCCTTCGATAATTGTATATTGATCGAAAGATGAGAGCTCGACGCCATTTTGGTTCTGGTCTGGGCTAAGCTTAAAACATTTTTTTCACAAATCCAAATTTTGAACGTATCAGGACAATTCTTAGATGATCACGAATCATGTGTCAAAGTTTCGGACAATTTGGTTCAATGTCCTTAAAAACAAGTGTTGTATTCGAATCGACTGATTTGAAAGGAGTTTCACTTCACCTTAATACCCTGAGAAAAAAAAGAGGTGGTAAACTGAAAAATTTTGTACCATTACGGCGTTCACCACCAAAGTGGGGATGATGACTTCCTAAGGAAAGTATAGTAAACGTGGAATAGTTAATTTTATTCCTCCCAAAAGGTAAACAAAATATGGCAACCGTTCGTAGATTTCCTAGTTCAGAAAAATGTTAATTTTGCTATAAAAAGTATTCGAGTTTACTATACTTACCGATTTTACTATATAAACAGAAAAAAGTTTTGTTATTCTTCCTAGGAAAGTATAGTAAACGTAGAATAGTTAATTTTATTCCTTCCAAAAAGTAAACAAAATATGGCGAGCCGTTGCTAAATTTCCCAGTTCAGATAAAAAGTGAATTTTGCTATAAAAAGTGAGTAATTTTATTATGTAAATAGTAAAAAGTTTTGTTATTCTTCCTAAGAAAGTATAGTAAACATAGAATAGTTAATTTTACTCCACTCTAAAGGTAAAAAAAATATGGTAACCGTTCCTAGATTCCCTAATTCAGATAAAAAGTTAATTTTGCTCTAAAAAGTGAATAATTTTACTATATAAATAGTAAAACGTTTTATTATTCTTCCTAGGGAAGTATAGTAAACATAGAATAGTTAATTTTACTCTACTCAAAAGGTAAATAAAGTATGGTAACCGTTTCTAGACGTCCCAGTTAAGAAAAAAAGTTAATTTTGCTCTAAAAAGTGACTGATTTTACTATATAAATAGTAAAAAGTTTTGTTATTCTTTCTAGGAAAGTATAGTAAACATAGAATAGTTAATTTTACTCTACTCAAAAGGTAAACAAAATATGGAAACCGTTCCTAGACTTCCTAATTGAGATAAAAAGTTAATTTTCCTATAAAAAGTAATTAAGTTTACTATATATACATAGTCAAAAGTTTTGTTATTCTTCCTAGGAAAGTATAGTAAACATAGAATAGTTAATTTTACTCTACTCAAAAGGTAAAAAAAAATATGGTAACCGTTCCTAGATTTCCTAATTCAGAAAAAAATTTAATTTCACTATAAAAAGTAGTCCTTTCTGAACTATGAGAACTGGTTAACAACCAGTTAATTTAACTAGAATTTTCTTTTAGCGTAGCTGGACCGTATTCGCCTTATTTTATAATTAAAAACCGCGTTACATAATTACACCGCATACAATCGTTCTGGTCCGACATGAAGATTCCTTCCTTATCGGACTGCTCGAACAAAGGTTGACTCTTAATTGGAACGCTGTGGATAGAACTGATAAATAAAGATAGATAAATGAAGTTTATCCTCCTCGGTGCAGAACATTGCACTCGTTAAATACGTACCAGTAAAACGTAGCACTTCCTACGAGTAAAATTATTCATGTTAAGTGTGAAGCAGTGAAAGATAAAAAGGAAACGCTAAAAGTTTGCGATAACGACTATCTGGTAGGATATTCTGTAGGGTGATGAAAACCTGACGTATTTTCTTTCGTTTTTATATTAACGTGATATGAAAGGCGCTGAGGAATTTAATGGACGTCGGTAAAATAGAATTCATCTATACCCTCTTTGATGGTAAAGACATTTTCGATACTCAAGTGGTAACAGAAGCTGGCGTGTACCGTTACCGACATTTATATTCATGTTGAAGCCTTTTACAGTTTACGTTGAGAATTTTACGAACTGAAGGGTTCCATATGTCATTTCAGTAAATTAATGATGAAGAGATCGATGTACAACTGCCGAAATCTCATAAATTCATGACTGTTTAGGTTTTGACGAACCAACATCGCCATCTGTGACGTTTAGCTGCAACTAAATTTTTGCTTTAAAAACCCGCGTTACCCCCGAGACAAGCCAGCATTTTCCTGCAATCGTTGGTGTAAGTATTTTCCATATTTTTTCATCTTACCCTGTAATATTCCATTTCTACGGTATTCTAAATTGTTCAAGCTATGTCCTGAAACTTTTCATTTTCGATTTTAAACCTCCAAGAAGCGTAAAACATCGAAAAGGAGCCCAGACCACGCCATGTTGGTTCTAGTCCATGATAAGTAAATAAATTTGGTATGAAAAATTAAATTTCACATTCATCAAAGATTTGACCTCTTATATATTCGCTGACTCTTTCATATCATCTTAAGATGATATGAAAAGCGCTAAGAAATGTAATAAAGCTCGATAAATTAAAACTCATCTATACCCTTTTTAGTGGTAACGCCATTTTCGATACTCAAGTGGCAACATAAGCTGGCGCGTCTCGTTACCGACATTTATATTTATGTTGAAGCCTTTTACAGTCGACGTTGAGAATTATACGAACTGAAAGATTCCATATGTCATTTCGGTAAAGTAATGATAAAAAGATCGATGTAAAACTGCCGAAATCTCATGAATTCATTATTCTAACGACTATTTAGGACCAACGTCGCCATCTGTGACGTTTAGCTGCAATTAAATTTTTTCTCTAAAACCCTGCGTTACCCCCGAGACAAGCCAGCATTTTCCTGCATTCGTTGGTGAAAGTATTTTCCATATTTTCCCATCTAACTTCGTAATATTCCATTTCTACGAAATTCTAAATTGTTCGAGCTATGTCCAGAAACTTTTAATTTTCGATTTTGAGCTTCCAAGAAGCATTAAACATCGAAAATGTGTCCGGACCACGCCATGTTGGTTCTAGTTCATGATAATAAAAATAATCTTCGATAAAAAATGTAATTTCATGCGTTTCAGGACCCACTTTAGCGCCTCTATATTCCCGTGGTAAGATTTGAAACTAATCGGTACCCCCAATTCGAAGAATACATTCATCAAAGATTTGACCTCTCAAATATATATAAGCTGACTCTTTCATATCACTTTAAATACATGAACAGCGTATTTAATTTCAATTAACACGAGAATTAATCGGAAAACGAAATTAAAGGGAAATTTTCCATGTTTACTCGAAACTATTCTGGAAGAAATGGTATAAAATCGACGTAAACATCACCATGACAACACATCACTTAAACAAATAGCTCTTTTGCGCCTCTATATTCCCGTGGCAAAATTTGAAACTAATCGGCACCCCCAATTCGAAGAATACATTCATCAAAGATTTGACCTCTCAAATATATATAAGCTGACTCTTTCATATCACTTTAAATTCATGAACAGCGTGTTTAATTTCAATTAACACAAGAAGTAATCGTAAAACGAAATTAAAGCGAAATTTTCCATGTTTACTCGAAACTATTCTGGAAGAAATGGTATAAAATCGACGTAAACATCACCATAACAACACATCACTTAAATAAATAGCTCTTTAATTAAAATATAAATAATCGTACCATGTAAGTTGAGTATTTTACAAAATATAATAGTCTCGCAGGAGCGTATTGCAACACCGAATCGAACATGTTTATCAATTTGAGGATATTGACGTGCAGTCCTTAACATACACAGGGTGCGCCACATAACTTAACAAAAAAATATATGTCTATTTGTATTAACATTACAACAAACTTGGAATAATCATCAGAAGTCGGTTTAACATTGCGTTTCCATTTCACCAGTTTTACACCTTACACCACCAGGATTACACCTTCGCACGCAAAAAGGTATGGATAAATTCCCATTAAAGTTATTTAAGGTGATATGAAAGTGACACGTATACATAACAAAAAGTCAACATGTTTATAAAAATTTTCTTCGAACTGGGTGCACCGAACCATTGAAACCTCATCGCATGATTATGGAATCACTCTATCACTCTAAGAAAGAATATGGTGTTCGTGAAATTTCATTTTTTTATAAAAAATTGTAATCAGCCCGGACTAGAATTAAGAGCACATTTTTATCTGTTGAAAAATGAAATTTCATGAACACCATATTGTTTCTTAGAGCCTCCATAATCAGGTGATAAGGTTTCAATGGTTCGGTGCACCGAGTTCGAAGAAAAGTTTTATAAATATCTTGACTTTTTATACATATATATATATATATGGAATGACCCTTTCATATCAGCTTAATTATCGCAACGATTTGTCATTTTCTATTCACTTTCCATGGGGGTTCGTAACCATAAAGTAGCATAAAGAACTCTTTGGATCTTTCTGGAAGATCTAACCTCACATTTCTTCGGAAGTTAGCCGATAGCAGTGTTGCCAATTTCCGTTCTGTTTACTCCAGTACAGTAGGATTAAAATACCATATAATGATAACGCATTTAAATGTATTTGGCGCGAAACTCTACCGAGTTTCCTGATAGTACAATCCAGTTCAATGAAAGAAATAATAGTACAGATTAAAAATGACAAATATTCAAATATTTAATTCAAAATTTCGCCTGTATTAAAAAATAAGAGAAAAGGTATGCGATTCAACACATTGAACAATTAATGATATTGAACTGAAAATTAATATCGAAAAGTTTAACTTAATTCTCTATTGCAATGGTAATAAAGTCGTCTGTGGTCACAGTTTCAATTTTTACTGTAATAATAGTGCAAATTCTAAAATTATAGTTGGCAATACTGGCCGATAGTGACACTAGCGATCCTTACGGTAAAAATGTGGTACCTCGATTATGCAATTAATATAATTATTGCGCTCAAAATGTGAGTACTTGCACTATTATTGTAGTACTGGTACAATCCAGTTCAATGAAAGAAATAATAATACAGATTAAAAGGACAAATATTCAAATATTTCATTCAAAATTTTGCCTGTGGATGGAAAGTGGAAGTTCTTTACGCTGTTTTATGACTGGAATTTTCCATTTAGACGATTCACTCTTTAGGTTAGATCCATCGAAAGAGTGATGACCACTGATCTATATACTAATTGGATAGCTGATACCTATTTGCTCTACGCACCCCAGCGCCACCTACACGGGCTACTGAATAATTAACGGGTGCGCATGCGGAAAATTTGTGAACCATCAGTTCGCAAAGTTAAACGTTTAATAAAGGACAAAATAGACATAATTTACGGGTAAAAAATGCGTAGGGCATATAGTAATAAAGCTTCGACTAAAACAAAACGGTTATCTCTTTTCCCGTGAGCATTTTAATAAAAATAACAATTATTCTTTTCCAGTAAATTAATTCGACCCCTCTTATCCTACGGTTAAATGACGCGTTGTTTCGACGCATGCGCAAATACGATATTAGTCCATGTGCCCACGCTTAGAGGGCTCTGGTCGCTTCAAAACTTCCCGCCATTTTGTAGGTTATCAGCTATCCAGTTGGTATACAGATCAGTGGTGATGGCTTAAATCTTAATCCTCTAAATGGAAATATCTTCGCCCCATAACGGTGAATATGAAATAGTATTTAATAACAATGTCTGCTGTAATATAATCTGTAGCACGCAGCACCGGGATTCCTAACCTCAACGGATTGTGCATCGAAGAGGGAAATTACAAGAGAAATGTTTCTTGCTGCCCAATTGTACCAGTGACTGTTGTTAATCGCGATTCACTAGATTTACTGTCAGTGGCACGAAAGATTGTAGAAATATTTAGGTTTGAGTGGTGTTCATGGGCTTCGCTTGGTTTCTTCGTCGGGCCAAGTCAGACATTATCACTGGACCTACGTGTGGCGATCTTAGGCTGTTCGACATTGCGCTGTAAGTAGCTGCAACTGCGCCCTGGAATATAAAAATCAAGGTTAAGTATGGTTAATACAGATATTAGGGTGAAATGAAACACGTCGAGGAACTCGATCGACGTCGATAAAGAAGATTTTCCTAAATGCCTACGTTGCCGACGTTCGTTTTTATATTGATAGCTTGGGGCCTAGGGCCTTGGAAATTACGAATCCAGAGGATTTCTGGAGCTTTACTTCGATTTCTTCATACTTATTGTACGAAAACGACAGATGGAGTATGCCATTTAGTACAATACCCAATATAATTATATACGGCTGTCAATCAAAATACGAACGTCGGTAACGTAGTTACTTAGAAGAATCTTTTACCGACGCCGATCACATTTCTCGACGCGTTTCGCTTCACCTTAAAATATGGAAAAATTGTCCTGAATAAATCATTAGATAACTATAATTTTTAATCATTTTTCTTCTACATATTTCTCAGTAGCACTTTCCATAATCACGTACATTCTGTCAACCAACATATGTGCAAAAAGCTAGTAAAATAGTATTTAAAAAAAACGGGATATGCCATTTAGTACAATACCCAATATAATTATATACGGCTGTCAATCTAAATACGAACGTCGGTAACGTAGTTACTAAGAAGAAGCTTTTACCGACGCCGATCACATTTCTCGACGCGTTTCACTTCACCTTAAAATATGGAAAAATTGTCCTGAATAAATCATTAGATAACTATAATTTTTAATCATTTTTCTTCTACATATTTCTCAGTAGCACTTTCCATAATCACGTACATTCTGTCAACCAACATATGTGCAAAAAGCTAGTAAAATAGTATTTAAAAAAAATGGGATATGCCATTTAGTACAATACCCAATATAATTCGATACGGCTGTCAATCTAAATACGAACGTCGGTAACGTAGGTACTAGGAAGAAGCTTTTACCGGCTTCGATAACATTTCTGAACGTGATTCACGTTACCTTAAACAAGACACTAAGCGTACCTTCAGGCTACGGGGATCTCTTGTGGTATCAGGTAAGATTTTGTAAGGAAGATGATGGCGATTTACGATCCAAGGGTACTTTAAAATGGTAAATGTCGTAGGCCGTCGTGTAGGGTCGACGTGTAGCATCCTTTTAACCAGCTCCTTCGCCTCGGGGGAGATGTAGCGCCAAATACCGCTCTCTACGTCGATGTTTCCTGGACCGATGCGACTCAATATGTCACTAGCGCTATCTCCTGGGCTGTTCGGGAACGGCGTGCACCTGTAACGAATGCAAAAAAGGTTATACCTTACTAAACATGATCCACATTGATCACACTATTAGGCTGAGGAATAAGTTCTCAGTCTTAAGGTGAAGTGAAACCCATCGAGGAACTTGATCGACGTCGATAAAGATTTTTCTAAACACCTACGTTGCCGACGTTTGCTTTTATATTGACAGTTGTGTCGAATTATATTAGGGTATTGTACCAAATGGCATATTCCACCTGTCGTTTTTTAACAATAATTATAAAGAAATCGAAGTAAAACTCTAGAAATCCTCTGGATTCATGCTTTCTGGGGCCCTAATTGACTGCAGAGGGACCCCCTGCGCCATCTGTGATTTCCAGGTCAATTAAATTTTCACTCCGAGACCTCGTATTACCATCGTTTTAGCATAGCAGCGCATAAGACACTTTTTTTGCCCTAATCCCGTTTAAATGCGAGTAACACACGTTCTTACAGCAAGAATTTAGTTGCAGCTAAACGTCACAGATGGCGCCCTTGGTCCAGAAGAGTATAAAAAGTCACGAATCCGCGTTATTTCGCGTGTTTTACATAGATTTCTTTATAATTATTCTACTGAAATAACATATGGAAATCTTCATTTCGTATAATCCTCAACGTAGAGTGTAAAAAACGTCAATATAAATGCAAATGTCGGTAACGTGGCGCACCAGTTTACGTTATCACTTGAGTATTGAAAATGTCACCACGAAAATAGGAATAAATTTATTTTATTTAATAAACGTCGATTAAATTTAATGGCGTCTTTCACATCACCTTAAAATTGATAGAATACCGATAAAGTATTTTTGGAGGTTACTTTACCCGGACAACATAATGTACAGTAAAACGCCAAGGGACCAAATGTCGCAAGCTGCGTCGTAGCCTTGTCGTTTGAGAACTTCAGGAGCTACGAAATTGGCAGTGTAGCAAGGAGTCATCAGTAAGCCATTTTCAGCTCGGAGTTGCTTAGCGAAGCCAAGATCGCAAATGCACAGAGTCGTAGGGTCTCCACCAGGCTTGGAGTACAAAATGTTCGAAGGCTTCAAGTCTCGATGAACCACCTGTAATCAAGTAACAAAATCAGGAAGTAGTAAAAGGAGCTAATGAAGGAGCATGAGGAACTTCCTCTTCCATTTTATACTGACCGCAGGGGTGGGTAGGTATAATACGTAATATAATATACGTGGTTTTCTACGCGTATATTACAACGTACAATACGTCCTTAGTATTATAAATAATAGCGTTTTTAAAACGTAACAGAGATGAGCAGGGAGGTGTTTCGCGCCATTGCTTTGAAGGGAAGCACGGCCCCTGGCGCCCTCTACACCCTTTACACCTGTGCAAAAATTGCAACTACCTTCAAGGGGCGAAATATTTGCGATCGGTAAAACAGGGTACACTTGGGTGCCGAGTCGTAATCTCAATCATCCACGCGTAACAACTTCATTTGGTATTCGTAGTCTTCTTTCCCAACCTACGTTGACCCTGATACTGAAAACGAAAAGGCGATAACTTCATTCTATCGATGCTGTGCTGTGTTTCAAATCTGCAGACGGGTTTTTCTTTTCCGATAGAGAACATTTCGCTTGTTTGAAAGCAGTTCCACGGCGCTAGAGAGCTGTGTCCCCCTTTCGACAATGGCGAGAAACATCTTCCCGGTTATCTCTGCACGTAACGTAACGTGTAAAAATACGCCGCTACTTGTTGACATTGTCGAAAGGAAAGCACGATTCCCTAGCGACGTGGAACTGCTTTCAAAGGGGCGAAATGTTCTCTATCGGTAAAGAAAAATCCGTCTGCAGATTTCAAATACAGCGTAGTATCGATAGAATGACGTTATCATCTTTTCGTATTCAGTATCAGGGCCTACGTAGGTTGGGAAAGAAGACTACGAATACCAAATGAAGTTGTTATGCGTGGATGATTGAGATTACGACGCGGCACCCACGTATACCCTGTTTTACCGATCGCGAATATTTTGCCCCTTGAAGGTAGTTGCAATTTTTGCACAGGTGTAAAGCGTGTAGAGGGCGCCAGGGGCCGTGCCTCTCTTCGAAGCAATGGCGTGAAATATCTCTCTGCTTATCTCTGCGGATACATATATCATTAAGAAAAACGATGCATACAGTTTTGTAGAGCAAGAAATGGGCTTTCGAATGTGTATATACACTTTGTCAAATAAATTACAAAAGAATGGGGAATAATAAAATTAAAAAAAAAAAACGCGGAAACTTATGCAACAACCCAATACTATTACAAGACTCACTCCGTTCTCATGGAGATAATGCACAACCGTTGTGATAGTGTGGATCACTTCGGCAGCTTCTCTCTCCGTGAAGCTGCCCCTTTGTAGCAGGTGATCCAAAAGCTCTCCTCCTCGAAGCAGCTCCAGGACGAGGTACACCTTTTTCTCATCTTTGTGCACCGCGTGTAGAGAAACTATGTGCGGATGGTTACCGTACCGCAGTAGAATTTCTATCTCCTCCGATGGATCTCTCTTCGCCTTATCTATCACCTGAAAATTTGTCAATTCAACTACATTGCCATTTAATTATCATTCCATTACCAGCTGTAATAGATTTGCGTGAGATGTCTTCAATAGCTTAATTTAATTTGTGCGTGTACCCTGGGGGTAGTACTTGAGCTCAGAATTTTTTTAAACCTACAGGGGTTGTCCTTGACAGCCAGGAAAATTCAGAGCCTCTCAGAACCTCAAAAACGTTAAAATGGACATTTTCGGAATTTGTTTATTTTTTTTTAACAGCTCTGGTTTTTGTAAAAAGGAATTGCACAAACGTCTCCTTTCCAGAAACATTCCAATAAGCCTGTTAATTTTGTTTGTGCGTCAAACTGGATTTCAGGCTCGCACAGCCAACAGCGCCAAGGAAGCGGAGAAAATGCGAAGTATAAAGCATTGATCGTTACCTTAACTGCGTATTCAGTCTTTGTAGCTTTGTGGACAGCTAAATACACAACGCTGTAACTACCTTTACCGATCTCTTGCTTGAACTCATACTCATCGCAAGGGGAAGCAGTGTTTATGTAAGGATAAGAGATACTGTTGAAAGCCTCGCAGGGCCTGTACTCTCTGGAAGAAATTGTACGGTCCTCGAGAAGACAGGGTGCAACAAAGCTGAAACCTCGAAACAGCTCGTGAGCAGTTGCACTTGGTGGCATGCCAGGAGAATCTGGAAGATTTATTAAAAACTAATCAATTCACCATGTATAGCTTCTTACGAATAAAACATTTTGTTAAGGTGATATGCAAGAGTCAGAATAGATATACAGAGTTTGTACGAAAAGTAATGTCAGTGATTTAACAATATTATACACCTGGTAAGTGCAAATCGGGAGGTCCCGGATTTACGCCCTGAGCAGGGGGTCGACACTGCTATGTATTGGGGTGTAACGCTTTATGCACTACCGCCGTCTTCGGTTGGAGTAAACCTTCTTCGCGAACTAAAATATTTGTCGGGCTATTCAAATTCATTTATTAAGCGAAGGGATATTTTCGGGATTTAAAAAGTACTTGCAATGATCAAAACAGACGTTGCTTAAACTGACACACAAATGTAAGAAAACAGTATATTAAACATAAAATAAGTAACAAAAGTGTCAGTGGCGCAACGCCTGTTTTAAATCACTGTAAAAACTGAAATAATTACATTAAACATTAGTTTAAAAGTAANAGGCGATACCCGTGAAGTTTCATTTTTCGAAAAAAAAAATTGTCTACTTATCTTGGACAAGAACCAAAAAAAACTTTTTTTTTCGAAAAATTAAATTTCACGAGCAGCGCGTTCTTCCTTAGGGCCTCCATAATCACGTGTTAAAGTTTCAGATAATTCTGTGCACCCAGATTGAAAAAGTGTTGTATTCGTATCGACTAATTTGAAGGGTGTTTCACTTCACTTTAAGGTGAACGACGTGTTTCACTTCACCTTAAGGTGATGTCAGGACAATTCTTAGATGATCAGGAGTGATGTATCAAAGTTTCGGACAGTTTGGTCCAATACCCTTAAAAAAAAGTGTTGTATTCGTTATGTTTAATATACTGTTTTCTTACATTTGTGTGTCAGTTTAAGAAACGTCTGTTTTGATCATTGCAAGTACTTTTTAAATCCCGAAAATATCCCTTCGCTTAATAAATGAATTTGAATAGCCCGACAAATATTTTAGTTCGCGAAGAAGGTTTACTCCAACCAAAGATGGCGGTAGTGCATAAAGCTTTACACCCCAATACATGGCAATGTCGACCCCCTGGACAGCAACGATAGCACACGATGACGCGAATGGAACAATACTAATAATTGAATATTACCTCTCGGCGTCTTGCACGTAAATTCACTGTCGAAGTAAAATGCATCATCTTCTCTGCCAACCGCAGGCTTAAAAGGAGGCTTGATTCCCTTATTGTACAGCGCTTGCCAATCGATGCTCGCAAAGAAGACATGATTTTTTATCTCATCCGCTCCACCTGGTGAAAGAATTAACAAATGTATATATTAGAAATAATTCCCAGACGTGTCTTATATCGTGATTTGTTATCGAACCTCCGGAAGTACATTGGAAAAATTGAGCAGGGTTGGGTAAGTATAATACGTAATGTAATGTAAGGTAATTGCACCTTGCAGCGGTTTGCTATTCGCTTTGCGAGAGATCTCCATCTCAAAATAAATTTATAATACGTTATAAATAGTCGAATTTCATTACGAGAGAATTAAAATAACGATACAACAACACCTGTAACAACCTATAACCTATAAAAATTACTTGTTTCGGATGAGATAATCCGTCCGGCGCCTACCACGTGCCTTGGAGTTATTTTTTCTTTCTTGTGCAATATTACTTATTCTGTTAAGAAATATATTGGAAATTTAAAGTATATACTATGCAATAAACGGTCTGTATAAATTTATGATAAAAAGATGACTTTTCCTATGTGCAATTACGTTTTGAAACAGAGAACTCAATTTTTCTTTTTTTTTTTGATCACATATACCTTTGTTATTTATGTAATTTTCAATGAATATAGAAAAATCAGCGTCACTGTTCTATTCTCTATTTTGTCCTTAATACCCTGCTTTTTGAATTATGTAAATATTGCTTTTCGTTAGGTTTTTATGAGCCTTTCTCCAAATCTTAGTAAAATCGTAAAATTCGGCCGGTTATCTTCGCATAAGCACCTCTTTTTCGCCCGGCACTAAAAGGGTTAACATGCGTGAAAAACCCCGGCACTGTAGGCTTGATAGTTTTTGCAAAATTTAATTCCTAATAATTACTTAAGAAACAAGCTTCTAGACGATAATATTCCTTTAAGGTGAAGTGAAACACGTCGAGGAACTTGATCGACGTCGATAAAGAAGATTTTTCTAAATGCCTGCGTTGCCGACGTTCATTCTTATATTGACAGCTGTGTCGAATTATATTGGATATTGTACCAAATGGCATACTCCACATGTCGTTTTCGTACAATAAATATCAAGAAATCGAAGTAAAACTCCAGAAATCCTCTGGATCGTGCTTTCTGGGGCCCTAATTGACTGCAGAGGGACCCCCTGCGCCATCTGTGATTTCCAGGACAATTAAATTTTTACTTCGAGACCTCGTATTACCATCGTTTTAGCATAGAAGCGCATACAACACTTTTTTTTGCCTTTATCCCGTTCAAATGCGAGTTTATGGATTACCAGAGTGTTTTAAATTATCGTAAAATTGTGCTGACCCTTTCGTTTCTCATATCAGAGCCTTCGATAATTGCATATTGATCGAAATATGAGAGCTCGACGCCATTTTGGTTCTGGTCTGGGCTGAGTTAAAAAATGTTGTTAAAAAATCCAAATTTTGAATGGGTCAGGACCATTCTTAGATGATCAGGAGTGATGTGTCAAAGTTTCGGACAGTTTGGTGTAATACCCTTAAAAAAAAAGTGTTGTATTCGTATCGACTGATTTGAAGGGTGTTTCACTTCACCTTAAGGTGATGTCAGGACAATTCTTAGATGATCAGGAGTGATGTATCAAAGTTTCGGACAGTTTGGTCCAATACCCTTAAAAAAAAGTGTTGTATTCGTATCGACTAATTTGAAGGGTGTTTCACTTCACCTTAACCCTAGGCTCACCTGCACCGAGTCGGTTCGCTGGGGTCCTCTTGAACAATACGCGCAACAAGGCTTGGGCCTCCGGAGATATGTTCCGAGGCATTCCTAACTTTGCTTTCAGAATTTGCGTCATCGTTTCCTTGCGATTAGCTCCTTGGAATGGCAGTGCTCCGGTCAGCATCTCAAACTGACAATTAAATATTATACGTGCCATGTTAATTGCGGTGTTAAGCGAAATGACCATCACTGCATGTCCTATGTTTCAAGATACCCTAGTAGCATGGAATAATTTATAAATATTTCTTTTTAATCTTTGTTGAATATCTCAAGCGACAGATTTCTTTAAGATTTCATTCGAAGATATCTGACATATTTGTTGAAAATCTCAATGACATATTTAGTTTCAATAATNTGTCTAAAACTTTAACACGTGATTATGGAGGCTCTAATGAAGAACGCGCTGCCCGTGAAACTTCATTTTTCATTCTAAAGTAAACGTTTTGCAAATATTCCAAATGTCTGGTAAATATTTTCGAAATGTAGGATATTCGTAAAATATATAGAAAATATATGAGAAATATTTTCTGCCACTAGGGATAAATGCCAAATTAATTATTTCTTAACAATTTCTATGTGTTTATATGTGCGCTAAAAGAAGTCAACCTCCCGAATACAATTGGCAAATATTTCAAATGTCTGGTAAATATTTACAAAATGTAGGATATTCGTTAAATATATAGAAAATATATGAGAAATATTTTGTGCTACTAGGGAATTGTTAGTTATCGGAGATGCAGTTATGGTCGTTTAGTTTGACACTGCAATATAGCTATTCTATGCAAAACTATTCTAAATGTACTTCCAAGTTAATAATTAATATTCGTGTGTATTAACAATGGGATTTAAATATCGATCTTATGAAATGCGATTAATTTGAGACGAGTGATGGATTATGGCTGAAGAGATCCTGCCCGACAACAAATGAAGGGTACATTGTAGAAAAACTCGCCTCTATCGTATTTAGCGAGATTAATTAGTTATTTTTATTTAATTAACATTTATACCACGTTACGATTCCGAGCAAGGTGGAAATATTTTTCAGTTAACGAGGATTCGTTACATTTCGCGAGAGAAATCTCTCCTAGAATATTAACAACAATTATTTTTTCATTTATAACATTAACGCTTATTTATATACTTAAAATAATGAAAAAGAAAGAAGAAAAGGATACAGGGGAAGGACAAGGTCGAAGGTCCTCGTTATTACAACCTTTAAGGTGATATCAAAGTGTCATATATACATAGTAAAAAATACAAAAAAAATATTAAACTTTTCTCCAAATTGGGGGCACAGAATTATCCGAAACTTTAACATGTAATTTTTGAGGCCCTAAGGATGAAGGCGATACCCGTGAAGTTTCATTTTTCGAAAAAAAAAATTGTCTACTTATCTTGGACAAGAACCAAAAAAAACTTTTTTTTTCGAAAAATTAAATTTCAGAAGTATCGCGTTCTTCCTTTCGGCCTCCATAATCACGTGTTAAAGTTTCAGATAATTCTGTGCACCCAGATTGAAGAANAAACTTTAACATGTAATTATAGAGACCCAAAGGAAGAAAGCGATGCTTGTGAAATTTTATTTTTCGAAAAAAAAATGTTCCTCTTATCTTGGACAAGAACCAAAAAAAATCTTTTTTTTTTCAATGAAATTTCACGAGCATAGCCTTCTTTCTTAGGGCATAAATAATCTCGTGATAAAGTTTCAAATGATTTGGTACGCAATTTGGAGAAAAGTTATACAAATATTTGGATTTGACATATATATATAGAATGACCCTTTCATATCACCCTTAACATTTCTGACACATCTAATACTACGATGTAAACATTCCCACACGAATTATGCAAATAAACCGAGGTGGTCCAATCACTCTAAAAGCATGCAAGCGTTATCACCTTAAGGTGATATGAAAGGGTTATTATATATATCAAAATATGCAAAATATTAATAAAACTTTTCTTCAAACTGGGTGCACCGAATCATTAAAAACGTTAACAAGTAATTAGTAAGGCCCTAAGGAAGAACGTGACGATCGTGAAATTTGATTTTTCACAAAAAATTTGTTTTCACTTAGCCTGGACTTGAACCAAGATAACATTTTTTTGTGAAAAATGAAATTTAACTAGCATCGCGTTCTTCCTTAGGGCCTCCCTAATCACGTGCTGAAGTTTCCATCGATTCGGTACACCCAGTTTGGAGAAGTTTCATATTTTGACGTTTTCTGTATATAGAATAACCCTTTCATATCACCTTAAGGTGATGTGAAAGCGACATCTGATGAGTCAATCGTTCATGGAACTTTCCTCCGACCTTATGGTGTTGAATTAGTTTAAATTTTAAGACGTGGATGTGGAGGCTACAAGGAAGGTTCTGACGCTCACGGAATTTCATTTTTTGTATAATAAATTTTAAAAATATTCATGAACAAATGAAGAAAAGAATTCTCTTGAGTTTTAGGATTGTCCTTGTATCCTCCATATTTATGTTCTTAAGCTTGAATCGACTCAGTTTGGAGAAAAGTTTCACGTACGAGAACTGTTTGACGAAAATTTAGCAGCACCTTAAGAGGATACGAAAGGCGCTAAGAAATTTAATCGACGTCGATAAAATAAATTTCACCTATACCCTTTTTGGTGGTAATGCAGTTTTAAATACTCAAGTGGTAATATAAGCTGGCGCGTAGCATTACCGACATTTATATTTATGTCGAAGTCTTTTACAGTCTACGTTGAGAATTATACGAACTGAAGGGTTCCATATGTCATTTCGGTAAAACAATAATAAAAAGATCGATGTCAAACTGTCGAAATCTCATGAATTCATGACTGTTTACATTTTGACGAACCAACGTCGCCATCTGTGGCCTTTAGCGGCAACTAAATTTTTGCTCTAAAAACATGTGTTAGTCACGAGACAAGCCATTCTCTTGCAATAGTTGGTGAAAGTATTTTTCACATTTTCCCAACCTCACTCTGTAATATTCCATTGCTACGGCTTTCTAAATTATTCGAGCTAGGTCCTGAAACTCTTCATTTTCTATTCTAAGCCTCCAAGACGCGTAAGACATTGAAAACGTGCCCGGACCCCGCCATGTTGGTTCTAATCCATGCTAAATAAATTCATTTTTGATGAAAAATGATATTCCATGAGTTTTAGGACCTACTTTAGCGCCTCCATATTCCCGTGGTGAAAATTGAAACTAATCGGACCGCTCAATTCGAGGAATACTTTCCCCAACGATTTGACTTCTCAGATATATATAGGATGACTCTGAGAAATTTAATCGAGGTCGATCAATTAAAATTCATCTATACCTTTTTTGGTGGTAGTGCCACTTTGATTACTCAAGTGGTAACATAAACTGGCGCGTCTCGTTACCGACCTTTATATTTATGTTGAATTTTTTTACACTCTACGTTCAGAAATATGCGAACTGACGGTTTCAATACGTCATTTCGGTAAAGTAGTGATAAAAAGATTGATGTAAAATTGCCGAAATACCATGAATTCATGACTGTTTACATTTTGACGAACCAACGTCGCCATCTGTGGCGTTTAGCTGCAACTAAACTTTTCCTAGACTGACCCTTCCATATCACCTTAAGTAACTGGCACGAGCCAGCATAATGTCTCACTGTATGGCCGAATTGAATTGATACATCTGCATTGTGAGATTTATTTGGGGAAATTGATCAGCACTCGGGATATCCACAGCCCCGAAACAAGGAGCAAGATGGCTACACCCTTCCTGTAATTTCCCCGGCTCTTGTCATGCTTTGATCGCAAGAAACCGTTACTCACCTTAAATGCACCTCTGGATGTCTGAAAAATATAAACGGATTAACTAATAATGTCAAAAGTTTATGATAAACTTAGAATTCCAACATCCCGCTGTGGTCCGAAGTCCATAGTTACGACAACAAAAACATTGTATTGTAAACTGGCATATAACGCGATTAAGGTGATATGAAAGTGTGATGTATACATACAAAAAAGTATTAAATATTTATAAAACTTTTCTCCAAACTGGGTGCACCAAATTGTCTAAAACTTTAACACGTGATTATGGAGGCTCTAATGAAGAACGCGCTGCCCGTGAAACTTCATTTTTCAAAAAAAAAAAAAAAAAAAGAATCTTTTTTTGGTTCTTGTCCGAAATAAGTACAAAAGTTCTGACGAAAAAAGAAATTTTACGAGCATTGCGTTCTTTCTTAGAGCCTCCATAATCATGTGTTAAAGTTTTAAATGATTCGGTGCACTCAGTTTGGAGAAAAGACATAAAAACACACACACTCAATAACGATGGGAATGAGGTCTCCGAGTGAAAGTTTAGTTGACACGGAAATCACAGATGGCGCAAGGGGTCCCTCTGTAGTCAATTAGGGCTCCAGAAAGCACGAATCCAGAGGATTTCTGGAGTTTTACTTGAATTTATTTATAATTATTGTACGGAAACGACAGATGGAGTATGCCATTTAGTGCAATACCCAATATAATTCGATACGGCTGTCAACCACCTACATTCATTGTTTACAACCGATGTTTAAATGTTTATTGGCAAAAAGCAAAAAACACGTATTTCTTAATTTTTTGCGAGCAATCACATCGCGTAAGTGGAACTTAAGAAGGAGTGCTTGTTTAATGGATATTACAAAAAAATGTCACCTGAAGGGTAGTTCACCCCCTTGAGGGGGTGCAACATTGCTGAACAATATTGTGTTGTCACCGTCCTTATACAGAATACGTTTATGCAAAGTTTCGTCGAAATCCCTCCACTGCTCCTACGAAAAATATTAAAAAAAACCGATTTTTCGCTAAACTTTGGGGGGTTGTTTCACCCCTTAAATGTGGACCATTGTAGATATAAAAAAACACGTGTCTCTTAGATTTTTGTGTTCTTCAACATATATGAAACTCAATAAGATCGGAGGCGGACACTTGGGAATGTTTCCATAGTCACATATATTTTGTCACTCAACATCTCTGCAAAAAGCTTGTAAAATGGTATTTAAAAAAAATGGAATATACCATTTAGTTAATTTATTGTGTTGTGTAATAATGTTGTATTGTGTAATAATGTACATTTAGTTAGTACAATACCTGATATAATTCGACACGGCTGCCGATATAAATACGAACGTCGGCAAGGTAGGTATTTAGAAGGATCGTTTTTACCGACGTCGATCAAATTTCTCGTCACGTTTCACATCACCTTAAGGAATAAATTCCCGCCGTTTTAATTACGTTAAAACGAACTTATTCCTAATACAATAACTTTATCGCTCTACAAATGTACATCGGACCACAGCACTTCATATAAAAAAAGGGATAAAAAATATGTACCCACCTTATTAAATTATAGGAGCCTAGGTCAAGGTTCACTTTTCCTCTCCTCTGATTTCTCCTCATTTGATATGAACGAAGGCTACTGATTGACGTCATCGTTTTTCTCTTATCGTGTGAAACTCTCTGCAGTGCACTTTTTACACTCTTTACACTGTTTACTATGTTAGAAAATTGGCCGTTAGGGTTACCTTTTAATTACAGGTACTGTTTTAGGCAGGGTTGGGTAAGTATAATACGTCATGTAATATACGTGATTTTCAACGTATATATTATAGACGTATAANTATTTTATGCTACTAGGGTAATTTGCTGGTTTTTTTCGATTTTCTTCGGTAAACTACTTTGTTACGTAATATACGTGAAAAACCTGAAAAAAAAAAATGGGGAATTACCCAACCCTGGTTTTAGGAAACGGAGAATGTTTATAGTCACAACGTTTCGACAATGTTTGTTGTTGCAGGTTTGTTCTTCAGTGAATTTCGTCACGATCACTGTTAACGATGTTTTGTTTTAATTTATCGGTTACTATCAGTTATTATGAACACGCTGGACGCCTCACAAATACTTTAGAAAATGAAAGAAAAGATGTAGAAGCCAAATATGAAAACATCCATGTGCAGAGTACGGAAATTTCACAAAATTTCACAAAATGTGTAAAACGTACCGACGGATAAACAACACAAAACGAACCAGGCAACATAAATCACAGACATACACTGAGAGAGAAATCTAGTTAAATGAACTATTTTTTTAAATAGTTCTCATAGTTCATAAAGGACTAGTATACTTTTTATAATGAAATTAACCTTTACTCTGAACTAGGAAATATAACAACGGTTACTATATTTTTTTTTACCCTTTGGGAGGTGTTAGATGAACTATTATACGTGTACTATATTTTCCTAGGAAGAATAACAAAACTATTTGTAATTTATATAGTAATATTACTTACTTTTTATAGTAAAATTAACTTTTTTCTGAACTAGGAAACCTAGCAATGGTTACTATATTTTTTTTAACCTTTTGGGAGGTGTAAAATGAACTATTACGTTTACTATATTTTCCTAGGAAGAATAACAAAACTATTTGTAATTTATATAGCAAAATTAATGTTTTTTTTAACTAGGAAACCTATTAATGGTTACTATATTTTTTTAGCGATCCAAATCAGTTGCGTGAACTCCGCGCCATCTATCGGTGTCGTCGAAACTAACTGGAACCAAGTTTTTGGTAGAAATTGAAACCTGAATCAACAAAACCGCAATGGTAAACGGTTGTACCGGTAATATTATTGCAGTAACTAAAAGTAGAGCAAATAACAAGAACTTGCAACAATATTTAAAAGGTAACCTAACTATTCCCAAATGGTAAAAACCTTTACCATAAATATTGTTACCGTTGCTACAAAATTCGTACAAAAGCCAGGAGGATGCTCAACTATTAAAAAAATAGTTGCAGCTATCAATTTCTGGTAAATCATTAAAAGAGTAAAATTGTTCAGTTTACCAGCTGTTTTTCTCTCAGTGCAGACATTTGACTACAAATTTAGAGTACGTAAGTGTACAAGTGTACATAATTACAAGAGAAGGAAATATTCATACAAACCGCTCGTGCTTTCACGAATTTAAACAATAAAACTCCACCAATTTCGAGAAAGAACAAACAACGCTGACTAAATAATCAACGGAAGAGACAATAAAATGATTTTGTCAAATCGAAAGGCTACCAAATTATTATCGGGTCTTTAAACAATCGAACGAAACCCATAGCCCAAACTTAACAATCCTTAGTGGCCTAACAATTGTTTCTGCATTATTTAGAAGTAACAGACATATGTCTTTGTTCCGTTATGTCGAATAGCGATGTCCAAAGTTATACAAAACTCCAATGGTATTAAAAATATTTAGGTTACTAACCACATTTCCTACATTCGAGGTTAACCTAATTTCGAGCAGTTTTTCCCTGCACCCTTCAAATGTTTTCAAAACAAAATTAGAATACGAGTGAATAGAAAGGACCACGAAGTAGTATAAGGAGATATAACACCATGTATTGAAATCGTCCCCACTTTAGGGCTCCAAGATTTCGAATTTTCGTTGATCTAGTGCCGAGAGCGCCTCTATGGTGAATCGTTGCAATTAAAAATTGTCTGCTAGTCTTTATCGCATTAAAACATCATAATCTGTATATTATACACGGATTAAAATTTTGCTTTGCGTGCCTTAATTGCAAAATTATAAGCGTTATAGGTAATTTACATCGGGAGGAAATATTTTGGTGGAATTGTTCGAAGAATCTTGAATTTTTGCTTATCTACTGCCGAGAGAGCTTCTATGGTGAAACATTGCAATTAAAAATTGTCTGCTAGTCATTATCGCGTTAAAAACATCACAATCTGTATATTATATATGAGTTAAAATTTATCTTTGCGTGGCTTAATTGCAAAATTAAAAGTGTTTTAGGTAATTTACATCGGGAGGAAATGTTTTGGTGGAATTGTTCGAAGGATCTCGAATTTTCGCTGATCTAGTGCCGACAGCGCCTCTACGGTGAAACATTGCAATTAAAAATTGTCTGCTGACGCATCTACTACTTTTTATCGCGTTAAAAACATTACAGTCTGTATATTATACACGGATTAAAATTTCGCTTTGCGTGCCTTAATTGCAAAATTAAAAGCGTTTTAGGTAATTTACATCAGAAGGAAATGTTTTGGTGGAATTGTTCGAAAGATCTCGAATTTTCGCTGATCTAGTGCCGAGAGCGTTTCTATGGTGAAACATTGCAATTAAAAATTGTCTGTTAGTCATTATCGCGTTAAAAACATCATAATCTGTATATTATACACGGATTAAAATATCGCTTTGCGTGCCTTAATTGCAAAATTAAAAGCATTTTAGGTCATTTACATCGGTAGGAAATGTTTTGCTCACATAGCATCGGAGTTTCCTCATTTTCCGCAAGTGGCGCTCGCATCGTAACTTTAGAGAAAATCTGATATCCTGGATCCCGATTCTGGGGTCGCTTTCTGTGGAATCGACGATTGGCGTTATGTCTCCTTATATTCCTTCATGGTATCAATATATTGAATTTGAGATTCACCGGGATGCAAAATATTATATAGGCTCAATTGCAATTGCACCTGAAGACATTCTATGACTAGAAAATAGTGAAACTATATTATTCAAAATATTGTATTGGCTCAATATTGTAACTGAGAATATTCTACGAATACAAAATAGTGAACCAATATTATTCGACATAATTATATTGACTTAATATTGTAACTGAAAATTTTGTATGAATAGAAAATAGTGAACCAATATTACGCTAAATATTATATTGGCTCAATATTGTAACTGATAATAGTTTACGAATACAAAATAGTGAACCAATATTATTTGAAATATTATATTGGCTCAATATTATATTTGAGAATAGTTTACGAATACAAAATATCGAAGCAATATTATTTGAAATATTATATTGGCTCAATATTGTAACTGAGAATATTCTACGAATATAAAATAGTGAACCAATATTATTCGAAATAATTATATTGGCTCAATACTGTAACTGAAAATATTCTACGAATATAAAATAGTGAAGCAATATTATTTGAAATACTATATTGGCTCAATATTGTAACTGAGAATATTCTACGAATACAAAATAGTGAACCAATATTATTCGAAATAATTACATTGGCTCACTATTGTAACTGAGAATAGTTTACGAATACAAAATATCGAAGCAATATTATTTGAAATATTATATTGGCTCAATATTGTAACCAAAATAGTGAACCAATATTATTCGAAATAATTATATTGACTCAATATTGTAACTGAAAATTTTGTATGAATGGAAAATAGTGAACCAATATTATGCGAAATATTATATTGGCTCAATATTGTAATCGAAAATATTCTACGAATACGAAATAGTGAACCAATATTATTCGAAATAATTACATTGGCTCAATATTGTAACTGATAATGGTATACGAATACAAAATATCGAAGCAATATTATTTGAAATATTATATTGGCTCAATATTGTAACCGAGAATATTCTACGAATACGAAATGGTGAACCAATATTATTCGAAATAATTATATTGTAACTGAAAATTTGGTATGAATGGAAAATAGTGAACCAATATTCGTAGCTAGAAGGGATTACACGAGACTGATTAGCGATCAGCGAAGTGACATGAATCTTCCAACGGGTGCAAATATCATGAATAAAAGATCTCCTTGTGCATAAATGAAAACAGTATTGCACAGACATCGTTCGACCCGACAGTAAATGTAAGTGATTAAAGGTAAAAGTGAAGTAACCATTAAAACGGCAAAACTCCACCAATCTGCGACGAAGGAGTGCCCCTTCCGGTTGACAACTTCCGGGGCCATGTATTCGACCGTCCCGCAGAACGAATAAGTCTTCGTGTCTTTCAGAGGTTGCTTACTTAAGCCAAAGTCAGTTAACGATATGTGGCCATTGGTATCCAACAATATACTGTACGGGACAAAAATAATATTAATATACACCTCTTATTTTAAGGGGGTTACACTACAATCGAAGATTTTCAATATTTAAGAGGATATGAAAGAGTCAGCTTATATATATCTGAGAAGTCAAATCGTTGGGGAAAGTATTTCCCGAATTAAGCATACCGATTAGTTTCAAATTTCACCACGGGAATATGGAGGCGCTAAAGTAGGTCCTGAAACTCACGAAATGTCATTTTTAATCAAAAAATAATTTATTTATCATGGACTAGAACCAACATGCGGGTTCCGGGCACGTTCTCAATGTTTTACGCTTCTTGGAGGCTTAGAATAGAAAATGAAGAACATCAGGACCTAGCTCGAACAATTTAGAATACCATAGAAATGGAATATTACGGAGTCAAATGAGAAAATACGGAAAATACTTTTACCAACGATTGCAAGAGAACGCTGGCTTGTCTCGTGACTAACGCGGGTTTTTAGAACCAAAATTTAGTTGCAACGTAACGTCACAGATGGCGACGTTGGTCCTAAACAGTCTTTAGAATAATTAATTTACGGGTTTTCGACAGTTTTACGTCGATCTCTTCATCAATACTTTACTGAAATGACATATTAAACGTTTCAGTTCGTATAATTCACATCGTAGAGTGTAACAGACTTCAACATAAATATAAATGTCGGTAACGAGATGCGCCAACTTATGTTACCACTTGAGTATTCAAATTGGCACTACCACCAAAAAGAGTAGATGAAATGAAATATTACCAAGTTAAATGGGAAAATATGGAAAATACTTTCATCAACAATTGCAAGAAAATGCTGGCTTGTCTCGTGACTAACGCGTGTTTTTAGAACCAAAATTTAGTTGCAGCTTAACGTCAGAGATGGCGACGTTGGTCGTTAACAGTCTTTAGAATAATGAATTTACGGGTTTTCGACAGTTTTACGTCGATCTCTTCATCATTACTTTACTGAAATGACATATTGAACGTTTCAGTTCGTATAATTCTCATCGTAGAGTGTAACAGACTTCAACATAAATATAAATGTCGGTAACGAGACGCGCCAGCTTATGTTACCACTTGAGTATTATCGGCATTACCACCAAAACGGGTATAGATTAATTTTATATTATAAACCTAGATTTAACTTCTCATCGCCTTTCATATCAGCTTAATGAAGTTCCTGATGCTCGTAAAATTTAATTTTTTAATAAAAAAAAAATACAAAATAGTAATAACCAAAATTAAAAGGAAATAAATATTCATGGGTGTCAGGTCAATACTTAGGGCATTCATATTGATATGGTTAGATCTAAAAGGCTCATCGTGGTGTAACCCCTTAATGTACTTGTAATAATAAAAAGTCTTACTTTTCTGGCTTAAGGTCTCTGTAGATAATCCCAAGCTTATGAATGTGTTCTAAGGCGAGAGCCAGCTCGGCCAGATAAAACTTCACATCATCTTCCGTAAACATAACCTAGATAAATAAAGATGCAATTCGTTAATTAAATAATATAATGATAGTTAAAAATACTTCTCAACGTTAAGGTGATATGATAGGGTCATTCAATATACATGAAACGCAAAAGAATGTATAAAACTTCTCTCCAAACTGGATGCACCGAATAATTTCACCACATTTCAAACCAAGATTATTAATAATTAAATTATTAATACGACAATTTACAATATTCTGGTAATCGAGAAACTCGCATTTGAACTGGATAAAGGCAACAAAAGTGTCTTATGCACTGTTGCGGTAAAACGATATTAATATGAGGTCTTTGAGCGAAAATTTAGTTCAGACGGAAATCACAGATGGCGCAGAGGGTCCCTCTGCAGTCAATTAGGGCCCCAGAAAGCATGAATCCAGAGGATTTCTGGAGTTTTACTTCGATTTCTATATAATTATTGTATGAAAACGACAGGTGGAGTATGCCATTTAGTATAATACCCAATATAATTCGACCCAGCTGTCAATATAAAAACGAACGTCGGCAACGTAGGCATTTAGAAAAATCTTCTTTATCGACGTCGATCAAGTTCCTCGACGTGTTTCACATCACCTTAAGACCTTCATAATCACGTGTCGAAGTTTCACATGATTCGATGAACCCGGTTTGGAGAAAAGTTTTATAAATATTTCTACATATCTTTACATAACTACACACAAGTTGTATAAAAGTCTTGTATATATAGAATGACCCTTTAATACCCTACTAGCAGAAAATGAAATCTACAAGACGTCTTAAAAAATCTGTCGCTTGAGATATTGAGCAAAGATTGCAAACAAATATTTTTATTATATGTTCATAAATTGTTGAAACTAAATATGTCATTGAGGTTTTCAACAAATATTTCAGATATCTTCGAATGAAATCTACAAGTTGTCTTAAAAAATCTGTCGCTTGAGATATTTAGCAAAGATTGCAAACAAATATTTAGAGATTGTTTCATGCTACTAGGGTATCACCTTAATTAGGATAAAACTACCAAATAATATCGACTTACTTCTTTCGACAAACGAGAAAATAGATCTCCTCCACGCAGGAAATCCAAGATCAGATATAATTTCCCTTCCGTTTGGAATGCATAATGCAGTTTTACTATAAATGGATGCTCCACGTCCACCAGAATGTTTCGCTCCATTTTTGTTCTCATTCTATCTCGAACTGAAATGACATATGAACGGTTTAAATATCTCGAAGCGATTGCATATCAATGAAAGGTAAACATATCAAGAAAGATAAACCTTTGAGCGTAGCTTTCTTGAGCACCTTCATGGCGTACAACGTGCCACGATCTTTCCCTACAACCTTTCGCACTAAAAACACCTGAAATAAAAGAATACGTTCGTTATACGTTTTATATTTCACATAGATAAGACATTCGATATACATTTTGCATTACACGTAGATAAGACATTGGATATTACATATTGTAATGGGTCCAAATTCAAGGTGCGCGAAACTGTACATCGACCAAAAGTTCTGCGCAATTCGCGCATGCGCGGTAGCCTTTGAGAATAAGTAAGGGGGCCCTGTTAGGGGATGTATGTACAGTAGGCACCCCCACATCGGAAATATGGAATGAAACCTATTGGAGAATTTAGTGCTTTTTTAGTGGTATTTTAGTGCTAGAAAATCGATTTTAGTGCTACATCCCTTATACCGAAAATCGGTGGTGGTGCTAAGTGAACGTTCACTCAGAACCCCCACAGTGCATACTACGTTAAGGGAAAGATTCATGGAAAAAACAAGTATGTAGGATTTTGGTGCTATTTTAGTGCTCTAGATATATCCAAGAGACGGATCCGAAACGTCACCTCTTTCACCCCAAAACTACCCCCCATCGTATAAGCTCCAAGAGAGAAGAGGTAGAAATAGTAACATTTTGCATGTTCTCTTCTGGAATTATTTTGGTTCTATTTTAGTGCTCTAGAGATATCCAAGAGCCAGATCCGAAACATCACCCTTTTCACCCCAAAACTACCCCCGATCGTATAAGCGCCAAGAGAGAAGAGGTAGAAATAATAACATTTTGCATGTTCTCTTCTCGAATTATTTTGGTGTTATTTAAGTGCATAGAATTTGGCGGCAAATTTCAAAATTGAAAAGACCAACAAACAGGAAAATACAAAACTTATGCTAACATCTCAACGAACTATAAACAGAAGTACTTATTAATGCATCTTCTTCATGTATAGAACGATTTAGCGTTTTAGTTTAGTACGTAATGTTCGAAACAATTTACAATAATTATGTATTACTACCTAACCGCGGTTGGAATGAACTAAACTATAATTTTTCCCTGTTGTAGTTAAATGGTTTTTCATTCTACTGCAATAATATTCTCACCCTTATTGATCCTCAATACCTGAAATTCCTGAGAGGAATTTTCATCTTCTACAATTACAAGGTAATAGAACGAATTGTAGGATTTGAAGAAAACGAAGACAGCCCAAGAAGGAAGGCTGGAGGAAGCATTACATTTTCGTATTCATTATCGTCTGATGCGGATAACCTCAAAATCCCGTACCGCTCTACTAAATCGGTCATCTTGGACTTTCGTGAGGTTTCTGGCGTTCGGGACGTCGACGAAAGTGTATCTACCCTTCTGCACTTTTCAGGAAAAGTGTAGTACCCTCGTTACCCTCGAGGGTAGAAAGTGCAGTCGACGCGAAGAAACCTACTATTAACACTAGGTTTACGGGACCCGTCAATTTGACGGAATTCAAACTTCGAAAAGAAATACCGAAAAAACCATAGCATTAATTGTAACCATTTTTGTATCGTAAATTAATCATTTCATCCAAAGAATTTGTACACACAATTATATTTTCCTAAGCCTTCTAATTATTAAAATCTGTATGTAGTATACCTATCTCTACGAAACCTGTCAAATTGACGGACTAGCTAATTTCATAAATAATCCATATATATTTGCTTCGTTGCAGAGAGTGTAAGGCGAAGATGAGAATGAAAGTTTGCATTGAAAGTGGAGAGATAGAAGGATCTTCGGATAGTGAAGAGGAAAACTTCTTGAAAGGGTGTCGTAGCAAGAAAAGGATGCGCATTCTTTCTAATTCTGACTCCGAGGATGAGAGGACGAGCATTCCAATCATTTCCCTGATAATTTTTAAAAAAGGACTTTTTACTTATTAATAATTCATTTAAACGTAAAGCCTAGTGTTGTTTAATTCAGACTTAATTTGAATAAATCGATTTTTTAAAGAAAATGCGTGTTTTCGGTTACCCGTCAATTTGACGGATGCTCGTAGAAACAGGTATATATAAAACGCCCATAAACCTAGTGTTAAAGTAAATTACTCTCACCTTTCCGAAGGAACCTTGTCCTAGCACCTTCAGTAGATCAAAGTGACCAGGTTCTGCCTTCTCGTAGCCATCGCGAACTACATCACACACATCTATTTCATGTGATTCGGAACACTCTCCGAATGGAGACTTGACTTCGTTACGGTGGGGGCCTGTGTTTTCCTCCGCATTCTCAACGGACAGAATTTCCATATTCTGTAAAGAAGTTCATACAACGGAATTAAAGAAATATCAACGATCAAGAAAATAGGGGTTTCATTAGCCCCTTGACATACAGTGACATCATTCATTTCATGTGCCATTGTAGATTGTGAAATCTCCGAGACGTCAAGAATCCTAGTAGCATAGAATAATTTATAAATATTTCTTTGTAATTTTTGTTAAATATCTCAAGCGACAGATTTTTTATGATTTCCTGTAAATTTCATTCAAAGATATCTGAAATATTTGTTGAAAATCTCAATGATATATTTAGTTTCAATAATTTATGAACATATAGAGAAATTATATTTTATTAATTTATGAACATATAATAAAAATACATTTTTAAATTCATGATTATTATCGGACACTTTGTTTGGTATCGAAAAACATGACAAATTTTAAATGACAAAACATAAAGCTTCGCCAAAAAGGAACGTTACCTTCCTGTAAAACTTATTTATGAGGCCTGGTAAATTACAATTAAAGTCCGTCATGAGATTATTGAGTGGACGACGTAAATACTTATTTATGAGGCCTGATAAAATATGATTGAAGTCTGGCATGAGATTATCAAGTCAGCAACGTAAGTAATAATGACAGAACATAAAGCTGCCCCGAAAAGGAACGTTACCTTCCTATAAAACTTATTTACGAGACCTGGTAAATTATAATTAACCTCCGTCATGAGATTACTGAGTGGACGATGTAAATACTTATTTATGAGGCCTGATCAAATATGATTGAAGTCCGGCATGAGATTATCAAGTCAACGACGTAAGTAATAATGACAGAACATAAAGCTTCGCCGAAAAGGAACGTTACCTTCATGTAAAACTTATTTATGAGATCTGGTAAATTATAATTAACCTCCGTCATGAGATTATTAAGTGGACGACGTAAATACTTATTTATGAGCCCTGGTAAAATATGATTGAAGTCCGGCATGAGATTATCGAGTTAATGACGTAAGTAATAATGACAGAACATAAAGCTTCGCCGAAAAGGAACGTTACCTTCCTATAAAACTTATTTACGAGGCCTGGTAAATTATAATTAACGTTCGTCATGAGATTATTGAGTAACCGACGTAAATACTTATTTATGAGGCCTTGTAAAATATAATTAAAGTCCATCATGAAATTATTGAGTGGACGACGTAAATACTTATTTATGAGGCCTAATAAAATATGATTGAAGTCCGGCATGAGATTATCAAGTCAACGACGTAAGTAATAATGACAGAACATAAAGCTTCGCCGAAAAGGAACGTTACCTTCCTATAAAACTCATTTATGAAGCCTGGTAAATTATAATTAAAGTCCGTCATGAGATTATTGAGAATTGACGCTGGACGACGTAAAGACTTATTTATGACGCCTTGTAAATTATGATTAAAGTCGTCATGAGATTATCAAGTCAACAACGTAAGTAATAATGACAGAACATAAAGGTTCGTCGAAACGAAACATTACCTTCCTGTAAAACTTATTTATGAGGCCTGGTAAATTATAATTAAAGTCCGTCATGAGATTATTGAGTAAACGACGTAAATAACAATGACAGAACATGAAGCTTCGCCGGAAAGGAACGTTACACGAAGTGTCGTTCATTTGCGGGAAGCAACAATTTAGGAATGTCAAATATACCGAACCTTTTCTATTACATGTTGCTGATTCCAGGGAACTGTCAAAGTTGCCAATGGCATTGTAAATCGCAAGTCGAGGTCTCGGTCCAAACGTGTTTCTCGCTCCACCTCGAGCTCGCCCCAACAAGTGTTTCTCCGATATAACCACAAAACGGTTACAATAACAAATTGCTTCATGGATCAACCGATGACATCAGAAAGGCAACCGCAATTTGTCCGCCTGCAAAATCGATCCATCGCGGTTTGTTCCTTCTTGTTTCGTTCCCACGCCGGGTTGGGTAGGTATAATAATAGCGGGTTCACATAACAGCGACTTTTGTCTGCGCAGTGTCACTGCGCAGGGGATCTATTACGTAAAGCAAATTGAGTGAAAATGTGAAAAATGAGGAGTTTACGGTATTACGGAACGTTTTTGGTGGTGAAAATGCGAGACCATTCGTATGAACTGGTTCGGGACAAATTTTTAAGCGAAATGGGGAAGCATACAAGAAAAGATAGAAAAATAAGCGCCGTGAACGCCATTTTCCACGGATCGGGACACAGAAATTCAAAATGGAAAACCTCCTGGGTGTTTTGATTTTTGGCAACAATCGTATTCGAGGATGTAATGATAACCTAGGGGTCTATTACGTAAAGCGAGTTGAGCGAAAATGTGAAAAATGAGGAGCTCACGGTATAACGGAACGTTTTTGGTGGTGAAAATGCGAGACCATTCGTATGAACTGGTTCGAGACAAATTTTTAAGCGAAATGGGGAAGCATACAAGAAAAGATAGAAAAATAAGCGCCGTGAACGCCATTTTCCACGGATCGTGACACCGAAATTCAAAATGGAAAACCTCCTGGGTGTTTTGATTTTTGGCAACGATCGTATTCGGGGATGTAATGATAACCTTATTATAAGAAGAAAGGAATTACGTGATGCCTGAGACCCATTTTCGTTAGAAGAACGAGAATTTACTAGGATGTACAGGTTAGTTTTTGTTATTGCGAGGTTATATTACATTATTAAACATTGAAAACTGTTCAATAATTCATGCTTACATGATATAATAAGAAAATTATATCGTTGAACTTCTAATTATAGTACATATAAATATGAATGTAATACATATTTAAAAAATATAGATAGACACGAGTTCTCTTCTTTACTTTTAACAGACTGCTTTTAACGATTTTCCATCTTCTCGCCTTTCCTGCCTATAACCCCCTATCTCTCAACAATTTTCGATTTATAAGGTATGTACCTTTATTTAAAATATTACTAGACCGAAAGTGCTAGTGATCTCGTTCTTTCATGTAGCGAATACGTCATTCGGCGAATAAACCCATGTGAGATGAGAATGCGAGAAGTGAGCGCTCTCGTTAATAGTACGTAATAAACGCCCTGAATTCTTTGATAAACAGATGGACGACGTCCAACGTGGTCGGTAGCTTAGGTTAGGTTAAACACTGCCAATATGACAGACACTGTTAATATGACAGACCACTGTTAATAAAACGCTGCCAGAGTGACAGACCACAGTTAATAAAACGCTGCCAGTATGACAGACCACAGTTAATAAAACGCTGCCAGTATGACAGACCACAGGTATTAAAACGCTGCCAATATGACAGACCACATTTAATAAAACGCTGTCAGTATGACAGACCGAGAAGAGTCGCTCGGCGAATCGAGCGAGGTTATCTCCGAAGCGGGCGACGAAGAGGTTATGGACATGTGTGCACGATGTGGTAAAATTTGCGACGCTTACGAAAATCCGGCGCTCACCTGTGCCGGCGATTGCGGCCGGAAAATTCACGTTACTTGTCTGAGTCGTGGAGGAGTTCCTGGCTCGCTGGTGGGAGATGTTTTCTTCGAACTGCATTGTGTGAACTGCAACTCTTTCCGAGAGGAAACATTGGTAAGGAAGAAGATACCTTGGCTCACCGTCATCGCTTTGACTTTGTACAACCTGCAAGTCAAGTCGAGTGGCATCAGCAAGCAGGGCTACTTCCATTGGAAGTCGGATATCAGTATGTTCATCGACAGAAACTGGGATTATCTCTTCAGGAAGAACGTGTTAGTAAGATCGTAACGACCCGGCGAGCGAGTAATTATACCAGCCGTTCCAGATTTTAATGTCCAAACTTTCGAAACGCGTGGGAGATTCAGAAAGTACCCATCAGGCTATATTACAGTTACATAACACTGGAATAACGTGATATGTAACGAATGTTATTTAAAACATACATTAATTGTTTCAGTCCCATGCGCCGCTTTTGCGCTCTTCAGATTTTATGTCAAAACAATCCAGTGCATTTGAACGATACCGACAATTGACCATGCAGTTACAGTCTGACGAAACGCGGTCAACTTTCCAGACGCATATTCGGACAGAATAAAAGAAGCGATATCGCACTGCTTGGATCTTTTCGCATCCCATTCAGAAAGCGCTATTGCGCTGCTCGGCTTTTTTCTATGTTTAAAAACCTCTGGTACTCAAACGGTTAATGTCAAAACTTTGGGAACGGGTGGGAGATTCAAAAAGTACCCACCAAGCTATGTTACAATTACGTAACACTGGAATAACATGATATATAACGAATGTTATTCATAAGATGCATTAATATCATATAACGAATTATTACTGTTCAGTAACATTGTTATAAATTTGTTAGCATTGCTGTTATGTAATATTAATGTAACATATAACATGTTACCGATATGTTATGTATATGTTACATTATTCGTTTTATAACGGTGTTATATAGCTGTGTAATAACTAATAATACAAATTTTACTTATATATTATTGGGTTGTCGACAAAGTGATTGCAGATTTTTCAATAACATCTATCGACAAAATCCGCAATCATTTAATTGCTAACCCAATATATGTATATTACGTTACACGTTACAAATATTACGTAACAGTTGCCCAGACTAGAATCAAAATGGCATCGTGCTCATATTTCGATCAATATCCAATTAAAGAAGGCTCTAATATGAGAAATGAAAGGGTCAGGACAATTGTACAACAATTTAGAACACTCTGATAATCGAGAAACTGGCATTTGAACGGGATAAAGGCTAAAAAAGTGTCTTCTGCAGTGCTATGCTAAAACGATGGTAATACGAGGTCTCAGAGTGAAAATTTAATTGACCTGGAAATCACAGATGGCGCAGGGGGTCCCTCCGCAGTCAATTAGAGCCTCAAAAATGATGAATCCAGGAGATTTCTGGAGTTTCACTTCGATTTACTCGTTTAAGAATTATACTGACACTTTCAAAATTTGCTTCCGTTTGTTTCAAAAGTCTTGATATTTAAATATGGGACGGCCTGTATAATTTCAGCTTGAATTATAGACGAATGTATAATTGTTCGCTTATCATCCAAATGTATTTAGGAAGCGGAAAAAGAATTGGACAGGAACAATATCCGGGACGCTGTCACACTACAGTGGAGTTTTCTTCAAGTCTGGCATCGTCGAGCTTGAAGAACCAGGCTGGTGGAAGTTGATGGCAAATGACCCTCCGGAGATCCTCATTGCCAAGAGTAAGGAACTTCGATATAAGTTAAAATAAGTGCAGCTTGTTTATATTTAACCAATATGGCGTGGCCCATACACGTTTTCGATATTTTACGCTTCTTGAAGGCTCACAATCGAAAATGAAGAGTTTCAGAACCTAGCTCGAACAATTTAGAATACCGTAGAAATGGAAAATCACAGAGTCAGATGGGAAAATATGGAAAATACTTTCACCAACAATTGGAAGAGAATGCTAGCTTGTCTTGGGGCTAACACGTGTTCGTAGTGCAAAAGTTTAGTTGCAGCCAAACGTCATAGATGGCGACGTTGGTTCGTCAAAATATAAACAGACATGAATTTATGGGATTTCGGCAGTTTCACATCGATCTTTTTATCATTACTTTTCCGAAATGGCATATGGAATCCTTCAGTTTGTATAATTCTCAAAGTAGACTGTAAAAGACTTCAATATAAATATAAATGTCGGTAACGTGACGCGCCAGCTTATTTTACCACTTGAGTTTTCAAAATGGCGATACCACCAAAAAGAGTAGATGAAATGAAATATTACGAAGTTAGATGGGAAAATATGGAAAATACTTTCACCAACAATTGCAAGAGAATGCTAGCTTGTCTTGGGGCTACCACGTGTTTTTAGAGCAAAAGTTTAGTTGCCGCTAAACGTCACAGATGGCGACGTTGGTTCGTCAAAATGTAAACAGTCATGAATTTACGGGATTTTGGCAGTTTCACATCGATCTTTTTATCATTACTTTTCCGAAATGACATATGGAATCCTTCAGTTCGAATAATTCTCAAAGTAGACTGTAAAAGACTTCAACATAAATATAAATGTCGGTAACGGGACGCGCCAGCTTATTTTACCACTTGAGTGTTCAAAATGGCACTACCACCAAGAAAGGTGTAGTTTAATTTTATTTTACCGACGTCGATTAAATTGCTCAGCGCCTTTCATGTCATCTTAAAAAGAGCAGCCTGTGTTTGCGGAGTATTTATCAGAAGTATCTTTTTCCGCAGATTGCCGGATGATGTTAAACCGTAAACAAAAGGCTGGGATCAGTTCCAAGAGTATCCACAACAGAGAACAGTGTAGCGACCCTACGACATCTAAAGGAAATTTCTTTTTTGACGATAATAGCAGCAAGGGAGAGTCTTTCGTGTATAGTCGGGAGAGTTCGATGCATTCAATCGCAGAACCGTCGATATCGTCTTCAGACTTCTTATTGCCGGTTGACATAAATGGTAAGATAACATTTTAATATTTTCTTTCCATGTTTCGTCATCACTGATCTATATACTAACTGTATAGCTGATACCAGAGATGAGCGGGGAGATGTTTCACGGCATTGTCGAAAGCAAAGATTATCAACAAATATTTAGAAATTATTCTCTGGTACTAGGGTACTTATGCGTCAATCTAATATCTTACGCCCTTCTATTTCTAAATAGTAAATAATAAATACAGTTCGATGTTGGATATTAGACAGGGTGTTACGTCCCGATTTATTTTAGTAGCTAATTTAAATTTTAATTATATGAAATCGCGTTCAGAGAAAGCGAGCTATGCACCGGGAAGAAGTAAGGTCCAGATCTGGCATTCCAGGTGTACGCGCTGACTCGTGGAGGTCAAAGGTTCCGCGATGGCGGAAAATCTCCACGTACAGAACCCCATGTCAGGACCGGGTTCAAAACCCTGGAGGCGCTGCTGAGCTCTAGGAATCCGAAGACGCAGCAAAAGATGAATCCCACCTTGGAGGGGCTCTAGCCCAGGAGGCCTTGGAAAACCTGGAGCTCGGTCGGGCGCTCGGTATAGTTTAAAATTTTAATAGTATCGCATCGAGAATCGGAATAAGGTAGATGTTAACCAAAAATGATTACTGAGTCCGTCAAAGTGCTCTCCAGGATTTTGAAAGATCCTCTTTGAATGCGTAGGCTATAGGGAAGGTCCTGACAATGACAATATCAAAAATAGTAACAAGATAAAAGCAAGTATTACGTAGTAGGAACGTACACTGGGAGACATCAATGCCCTCCAATCCTGCACAGGCGATGCCGTATCTGCAGGGGAGGCATTCATATCCGCCACTGTACACTGGGAGACATCAATGCCCTCCAATCCTGCACAGGCGATGCCGTATCTGCAGGGGAGGCATTCATGTCCGCCATTGTACCGAATCGCTTCAAATTTTACAACGCGAATGCGTAGACTATAGGGAAGGTCCTGACAATGACAATATAAAAAATAGTAACAAGATAGAAGCAAGTATTATGTAGTAGGAACGTACACTGGGAGACATCAATGCCCTCCGATCCTGCACAGGCGATGCCGTATCTGCAGGGGAGGTATTCATGTCCGCCATTGTATTTTCCCCTTGCGTAGAAAACTAGGGACGTATCATACGTTGTAATATACACGTAAGGAAACCACATATATTACACGACGTACTATACTTACCCAACGCTGATATCTGTCCAGTTAGTATATATATATATATAAGTGTTTGTCATGATTCTTTTGTCTTTGATGTTTTGACTACTCTTCCGTTCTTCAGATTTGGACATTTTGGACACCGATGATACATGCATGGACATTCGACACGAGAGCCAGACGTTGGCAGAGCTAATGCAGGACGTCCAGCAGCAGAGTTTCCAATTAACGGACCACCACAACAGCATTCAGATGTCGCAGTTGCTGGACAATTTTATGCCGGACTGGGCAAGCTGCGATACAAAGCTCTCGGAGTGTAACAATTATGATGAGAGTCTCGACAGGGTCGACGATACCTTTAAGGACGAGCTGTATGAGAATCGAAGCACTGACAGTCCAGTTTCCATGCAAGAACAACCATTGCCTTCTTTGTTTAACTCTAAGAAGCAGCGAAGGTGGCCTTGGTTAAAGGATAGTCCCATTGGTAAGACATCCAAATGTCACGTGTCAGAATTATTAAGGTGAAGTGAAACACGTCGAGGAACTTGATCGACGTCGATATTGAAGATTTTTCTAAATGCCTACGTTGCCGACGTTGGTTTTTATATCGACAGCTGTGTCGAATTATATCGGGTATTGTGCCGAATGGCATACGCCACCTGTCGTTTTCGAACAATAATTATAAAGAAATCGAAGTGAAACTCCAGAAATCCTCTGGATTCATGCTTTCTAGGGCTCTAATTGACTGCAGAGCGCCACCCTGCGCCATCTGTGATTTCCAGGTCAATTAAATTTTCACTCCGAGACCTCGTATTCCCATCGTTTTAGCATAGAAGCGCATACAACACTTTTTTTGCCCTTATCCCGTTCAAATTCGAGTTTATCGATTACCAGAGTGTTCTAAATGGTCGTTTAATTATCCTGACACTTTCGTTCCTCATATAAGAGTTAAAAAATTGCGTCAAATCGGCAAAATTGCGAATTGACGCATTTCGTTTACTTTTCAACAACTCTAAGGTGAAGTGAGAAACAGAAATTTGATCGACATCGGTAAAGAAGATTTTTCTAAATACCTACGTTGCCGATGTTGGTCTTTATGTGGACAGCCTTGCCGAATTATATTGATTATTGGATTAAATGACATACCCTATATCTCGTTTTCGTATAATAAATATCAAGAAATCGAAGTGAAACTCCAGAAATTCCCTGAATTCATGGTTCTTGATGTCTTAATTGACTGTAGAGTGCCACCCTGCGCCATCTGTGATTTCAGTGGCAACTAAATTTCCTCTTCGAGGCCTCATGTCATCATCGTTTCAGCATAAAAACGCATAAGACGCTTTTTTGGCCATTATCAAAGTTCAAATGCGAGTTTATCGATTATCAGAGTGTTCTAAATTGTCGTAAAATTGTCCTGACCCTTTCGATTCTCATATCAGAGCCTTCGATAATTCTATACTGATCGAAATATGAGAGCTCGACGCCATTTTGATTCTGGTCTCGGCCGAGTTAAAAAATTTTGTTAAAAAATCCAAATTTTGAACGTGTCAGGACAATTCTTAGATGATCAGGAGTGACGTGTCAAAGTTTCGGACAGTTTGGTCTAATACCCTTAAAAAAAAGTGTTGTACTCGAATCGACTGATTTGAAGGGTGTTTCACTTCACCTTAAACGTAAGATTTATCTGACTATTAATTAATTTCTAGGAGAAAAGAAGTTCCCAATGAGCGAGCTTGAAGAGAGCTACCTTCTACAAAAGGTCTGCAAGTCTCGACTGGACTCGGCGAAACCTTCTATCAGACGTCTGTACAGAAAACTAGCAGTTCGTAAGCTGAAAAGGGAATACGACTTGCCATTGCTCGACGTGGACAAGTTCCACGCTGAAGCGAAGTCCTACAAAAAGTGCGAACAGAACGAAAGGGTGCTGGACAGGTTTTGCAGCGACTTAAATGGCGCGGCTTTCGAGCAGAGACTTCAGGGCCACAACGAGCCTACTTCTGTGCACAGTCCTTATACAAACAGACTTTTAAAGCCTTTTATTAGAAGGGACACAACCAGTAGACCCACCTGGCTGAGGCTCATGAATGAACTTCTCCTCAAGGTCAATGGAACCGAGTCAATGTCAAAAGTTGACCTTGCGATAGACTATTCATACGTCAGGCCTCAACACATTCCTGCGATAAACAGTCTCTGCAGCCAGTTCTTCTGGCCAGGGATCGATTGTGAGTCATTCATACACCTGCGAAACCCTGTATAACCGTCTTTTGTCTGAACTAAGTTAGTTATACAAGTATACGCATTTGTAACGTTACAAATGCTCGAATGAACTGGACTTAAGGTGATATGAAAGACGCTGGGAAATTATTTGGAGTCGATAAATTGAAATTCGTTTATACTCTTTTTGGTGGGAACGCCATATTGATTACTCAAGTGGTAACATAAGCTGGCGCGTCATGTTACCGACATTTATATTTATGTTGAAGTCTTTTACAGTCCACGGTGAGAATTATATGAACTGAAGGGTTCCATATGGCATTTCGGTAAAGTAATGATAAAAAGATCGATGTAAAATTGCCGAAATCCCATGAATTGACGACTGTTTATATTTTCACGAACCAACGTCGCCATCTGTGACGTTCAGCTGTAACTAAATTTTTGCTCTAAAAACACGTGTTAGCCCCGAGACAAGCCAGCATTCTCTTGCAATCGTTGATGGCAGTATTTCCCATATTTCCCATCTGACTCTGTAATATTCCATTTCTACGGTTTTCTAAATTGTTCGAGCTAGGTCCTGAATTCTTCATTCTCGACTCTATGCCTCCAAGAAGCGTAAAGCATCGAAAACGTGCACGGACCGCGCCGTGTTGGTTCTAGTCCATGATAATTAATCTCCGAATTGTGTGTACCGATATGTTTCAAATTTTACCACGGGATGTAAACCTTAAAGTACGTCCTGAAACTCCCGAAATTTCATTTTTCATCCAAAATTTTTCTACTTATGGACCAGAATCAACATGGCGTAGTCTGTGTACGTTTTCGATATTTTACGCTTCTTGGAGGCTTAGAATCGAAAATGAAGGGGCTCAAGACCTAGCTCGAACAATTTAGAATACAGTACAAATGGAATATTACAGAGTCTGACGGGAAAATATGAAAAATACTTGCACCAACGTGTGCAAGAGAATGCTTGCTTGTTTCGGGGCTAATACGTGTTTTTAGAGAAAACATTAGTTGCAGCTAAACGTCACAGATGGCGACGTTAGTCCTAAGCAGTCGTTAGAATAATGAATTCCCGGGATTTCGACAGTTTTACATCGATCTCTTCATCACTACTTTACTAAAAAGGCATATGAAACGCTTCATTTCGTATAATTCTCACCGTAGACTGTAAAAGACTTCAACATAACTATAAATGTCGGTAACGGGACGCGCCAACTTATGTTACCACTTGAGTATTCAAATTGGCACTACCACCAAAAAGAGTAGATGAAATGAAATATTACCAAGTTAAATGGGAAAATATGGAAAATACTTTCATCAACAATTGCAAGAAAATGCTGGCTTGTCTCGTGACTAACGCGTGTTTTTAGAACCAAAATTTAGTTGCAGCTTAACGTCAGAGATGGCGACGTTGGTCGTTAACAGTCTTTAGAATAATAAATTTACGGGTTTTCGACAGTTTTACATCGATCTCTTCATCACTACTTTACTAAAAAGGCATATGAAACGCTTCATTTCGTATAATTCTCACTGTAGACTGTAAAAGACTTCAATATAAATATAAATGTCGGTAACGGGACGCGCCAGCTTGTTACCACTTGAGTATTCAAAATGGCGTTACCACCAAAAAGGGTGTAGATGGATTTTATTTTATCTACGTCGACTAAATTTCTCAGCTCCTTTCATATCATCTTAAGTATATTACGCGAAAAACTTCGAATGACGCGTTACTGCTCAACCCTGGCGTTCATATATTTCATTATTTCCAGTGACGGAGTGTTTGCAGTATCCGGATTTCAGCTGCGTAGTGCTGTACAAGAAGTTGGTCATCGGAGTAGCGGTGTTGATACCAGACGTCGGCTACAACGAGGCCTACATTTCTTTCCTCGTGGTTCGACCCGAGTGGCGAAGAGCGGGCATTGGGACGTTCATGTTGTACCATCTGATTCAAACTTGCATGGGGAAAGATGTGACCTTGCACGTATCGGCCACCAACCCTGCTCTAATTCTGTACCAGAAGTTCGGATTTAAGATAGAAGAGTTCGTACAGGACTTCTACGACAAGTACATGCCCCCTAACTCGAAGGAATGTAGACATGCTCTGTTCCTACGACTAAACCGATGACAATGATGCACTTGAAGTGTAATTTAAGTGAATTTACCTGGGCGTTACTTAAGGTGAAGTGAAACACGTCGAGGAACTTGATCGACGTCGGTAAAGATGATTTTTCTAAATGCCTACGTTGCCGACTTTCGGTTTTATATTGAGTGCTGTGTCGAATTATATTGGGTATTGAACGAAATGACATACTCCACCAACGTTTCCGTACCATAATTATAAAGAAATCGTAGTAAAACTCCAGAAATCCTCTGGATTCATGCATTCTGGTGCCCTAATTGACTGCAGAGGGACTCCCTGCGCCATCTGTGATTGCCAGGTCAACTAAATTTTCACTCCGACACCTCGTATTCCCATCGCTTTAGCATAGAAGCGCGTAAGATTTTCGTTTGCTTTGAAAACAAAATTTTAGTTTCCACTAAGCGTCACAGATGGCGACGTTGGTCCTAAACAGTCGTTAGAATAATGAATTCATGGGATTTCGACAGTTTTACGTCGATCTCTTCAGCATTACTTTATTAAAATGACATGCTTCAGTTCATATAATTTTCAACGTAGGCTGTAAAACACTTCAACGTAAATATAAATTTTAAAACATGACGTGCTAACTTGTGTTTCCACTTCAGTATTCAAAACGATGTTATGATAAATAAGAGGAAAAATTAATTTTAATTGAATTTCTCAGCGTCTTTCATATCACGTTAAGGTGAAGTTTAAGGTGAAGAACAACATTTTTCTAAATACCTACGTTGTCGACGTTCGTTTTTATATTGACAGCTGCGTCGAATTATATTGGGTATTGTATTAAATGACATACTCCACCTGTCGTGTTTGTACAATAATTATAAAGAAATCGAAGTAAAATATTCCACAGAATTCATAGTTTTTGAGGCCCTAATTGACCGCAGAGTGACACCCAGCGCCATCTGTGATTTCCGTGTCAACTAAATTTTCACTCCAAGACCTCGTGTTACCATTGTTTTAGCCTAGCAGCGCAAAAGACACTTGTTTTGCCTTTATCCCACTAAAATGCGAGTTTCTCGATTACCAGAATGTTCTAAATTGTCGTACAATAGTCCATATCATCTTAATTAAACAGGAAATCGTGAGATTTCCCACCTGGATGTACATCTTTCATCGATACACTGATACGTCCTCATTAATGTAAAATGATTAACACAGTTGTCTAGATTATTTGTCAGTTTATTTAAACCATACATGTCCTGGCTCATAAATAACGACTGCAAAGGAAACCTCATCGATAGGAATGATCTAACGATGGATCATTTGATTACTGCTACGGTATAAAAAAAGTAAAAAATAAAACACCACACCTTTACCTCCTTCGATCGATGTGACTGTCACCGATCACTGCGAGTAACGATTATATGCACCAAAGTAGAGAGGGTTAGCCATCGTACACTGGGAGACATCAATGCCCTCCCATCCTGCATAGGCGATGCCGTATCTGCAGGGGGGGCATTCATGTCCGCCATTGTACACTGAGAGACATCGATGCCCTCTCATCCTGCACAGGCGATGCCGTATCTGCAGGGGAGGCATTCATGTCCGCCATTGTACACTGGGAGACATCGATGCCTTCCCATCCAGCATAAGCGATGCCGTATATACAGGGAAGGCATTCATGTCCGCCATTGTACACTCGGAGGAGCACAGAGTTACTAACGAGTATAGCCACTGCATGAAGTAGCATAAAAAACTCCCACTTTACGTGTTTTTCTAGAAAAGAGTGTTCTAAATTGTCGTAAAATTGTCCTGACCCTTTCGATTCTCATATCAGAGCCTTCGATAATTGTATATTGATCGAAATATGAGAGCTCGACGCCATTTTGATTCTGGTCTGGGCTAAGTTAACAAATTTTTTCCAAAAATCCAAATTTTGAATGGGTCAGGACAATTCTTAGATGATCAGGAGTGATGTGTCAAAGTTTCGGACTGTTTGGTCTAATACCCTTAAAAAAAAGTATTGTATTCGTATCGACTGATTTGAAGGGTGTTTCACTTCACCTTAACTACCCTCCAGGTGGCAAACCATCCTGTTCAGTGAAAAGAAACCAAACCTTTATCTGGCAGATACTTTTATCGCCAGGATAGCTATCCGGGGATAGGAAAAAAAATCCAGGATTGCCAATGACATATAGGGTTACTTTTACATTTAAGTGGGGCCTTCTTATGCTACTCTATCAATCACTGTTATTGGAAGTACTGGCGTCGATAAGTCACCTAGGCCCTACCGAGTGGATTTCCGAGGTTAAGCACCCCGATCACGTTTTTCTGTACTCGATCACCTCCACGTAATTAGCAGGGAAGAGTCCGTAGGTCCCATCGGGTCCGAGACCTTGCCACCAGCCTTCGTCGATGGCATCGATATGTGTGATAATGTCATCAGGGTCGAAGGTTATCTCAGTGTCGTCCGCAGCTTGGTAGTCGTACAAGGCCCTAGCCGTCATCCCCTCGTTGTTGGGGTCAAAGTAAAGATAAGAGCCTCCTTCTGGCTCGCTCGACTCACTCTTTATTGTCGTACTATTTAATGCCGGAGGAACCTGCTGCGTATCTTGGCAGGTTAACTGTGACTTCGAGTCGTTAACCTGGGTCTGAGGAGGGACCGTACTACTCTGAGGCTGAGTGGTTTTGTTGGCGCTCACTGGCGGCTCCACTGTCGCCTCTTCCTCTTCCTTCTCGATAGATGGCTCTACCTTTCGCTCGGGGGATTTCTTCGTTACTTCGGCGTTTCGGTGCACTGATTTCACCTGGCTGGGCGGCTCGTTCTGCTTTTCATTCTGCTTTTCGTTCCTCTCGAATATGGCCTTCGCATTTATGGTGCGCTGGGCCAGCAACTCTTGCGTCTCCTTCGTTCTCTCTGATCGCAGCTCCGTACTTCTTAGTTTGGACTCCTCGCTTGAGTCGTTCATCATGTAGCTCTGGTTCTGTCGATTCTTTATCACCTGGGCAGCCTCCTCGGATTGCTTGTGCTCCACGTTCGATTTCTTCGGTGAGACCTGGGGGAAAATTCAGAAATTAGAAGGAAATTAGAAGAAATATTTTTATTACATGTTGATAAATTTAAAAAAATATATATAATTTCTGTATATGTTCATAAATTAAAAAAAAATATATAATTTCTGCATATGTTCATAAATTATGGAAACGAAATATATCTGAGATTTTCAACAAATGTTTCAGATATCTTCGAATGAAATCTACGAGACGTCTTAAAAAATCTATAGCTTGAGATATGTAGCAAAGATCATGAACAAATATTTTTATTATATGTTCATAAATTATGGAAACGAAATATGTCATTGAGATTTTCAACAAAAATTTCAGATATCTTCGAATTAAATCTACGAGACGTCTTAAAAAATCTGTACCTTGAGATATTTAGCAAAGATTATAAAGAAATAATTTTATCATATGTTCATAAATTTAAAAAAATATATAATTTCTGCATATGTTCATAAATTATGGAAACTAAATACGTCATTGAGATTTTCAACAAATATTTCAGATATCTTCGAATGAAATCTACGAGACGTCTTAAAAAATCTGTAGCTTGAGATATTTTGCAAAGGTGACAAACAAATATTTAGAAATTATTCCATGCTACTAGGGAAGGAGCGTAATTTACCTGCCGCTCTCTTCTCTCGTTCTCAGTCTGTTCTCGAAGTTTAATTTCTTGTTCCAGTTTTTGCCGTTCCTGTTTCCAGCGCGAGCGTTCCTGCTGTAATCGTTGCTTCTCCTCCACTTCCTCTTTTTGCCAGAATTTGTCCCTTTCGATGGCATTTATTTCTTGTTCTGGAATTACTCTAAGGGGAACAGTTAAACGGTGTACTAATAGGAGAGATGCATTGCATCGAATAATTTACAAATGTTCTGATAATAAATAGAAATGTGAGGGTGTTGTAACAAGTAACTGTAAATAAAAAATGTTCAGATATGTAATTCAATCGGAGATACAAATTACATGTCTTGCCTCTTGTTTCGGCTAACTGGTCTAATTAATGAAACGAAACTTCTTACGTTAGTGTTAGTTTGCACATTAAGAAATAGCGGAGTATCTAAAGGTGCAGCACTTGTTTATTTATTTATTTATTACTTAAATCAAACCGTTTTTTTTAATAAAAAATGGAAATCAACTATTGTTGCCAAATATGTTATTTTCAGTTTATTAAATACTCAAATTAGATATTATTGCCAAATTATTCTACGTTTTGTTCCACATATTACAAGTACATTTATTCCAAAAATGATATAATCACTTAGAATCATGTGTCTATGAAAATCTACAGTTTTCTATTTTCATCTAACCAAATGAAACTTAAAACTAAATCTGATAAAATAAAAAAAAATTAAAAACAATTTGAAAACATTTTACTTGCGAGCACTGAAATACTGACGAGAAGTCCAATGAGTACACTTCGGGTGCTCGCCAAGTAAAATGTTTTCAAAATGAGTTTCTAATTTTGTTTTTTGAGAATTATACGAAACAAAGTATTTCATATCTCATTTCGGTAAAGTAATGATAAAGAAATCAACGTAAAACTGTCGAAATCGCGTGAATTCAGGATTTTTGGTATTGTAATGCACCATCGGCGCCATCTGTGTAGTTTAGCTGTAACTAAATTTTTGCTCTAAAAACACGTGTTAGCTCCAAGACACGCCAGCATCACCCATGGGTGTAAGGGTGATAAGATGATATGAAAGGTGCTGAGAAAATTAATCGAGATCCATAAATTAAAATTTATCTATATCCTTTTTGGCGATAACGTCATTTTGAATCATTTTGATAGTAGTAAGGATATGTTTTTGTCGATTTTTATCTGCTAGGATAAAGAAGTTGGTGTAACGATGTGAAAAGATTATCGGAGAGGACAAAAAAGAATGTCTACATAGGAAAATGACATATCGTTCATATCTCCAATGGAATGACATATATCAAGATATTCAATTCACTGTTGCTTTCTGAAAACATCCCCATTATTCTACAAAGATTAATTTTGCACACCTGCGGTAAGAAGTTCCGATAGATCCAGGCTGTACATTGTTCTCCGTACGTGGTTCATTAAATTTGAAAGCCGATGCAGTGGCTCGTGCTAGTTTCTCCATTATTAAATCCACTTCCATTTCGTCTTCGCAGCGAGCATTAATAGTGATGTGGGCACCTTTCAATAATTTCTCGATGTCCCTGATGTGATTTGCACAAGTCCCTTTTCTCACTATAGGCGCGCCCTCGCCTTGCTAGGTTAGGAAATAGAATGTTTTATTAATCACTACACATCGATACTAAGCTCGATACAAATATAGGAAAGTATCATACCCAATTTATTAACAGACATTTAGGTAAGCTCGTCTTACTGTCGATCACCCTACAAAAGGCATACATAACCTGACCACTGTTCAGATCCTCAATCATCTCCGTTAATCCTCCTGATCCAGTTCCAACGACTTTTAGGTTATTCGTTTGGCCCTCGTACCCAAATACTGCCCTGTAATGAGATAAAGTACATTTGATGAGTGCGTAACAATAATAAACATATAACTGCCGATCTGAAACATTTTTTCATGGACAATTGACATGTAAAGATTTCGGGTGTAAAAAGGCAAAGATTCTGCATAGTAGTTCGAGCTTCTCTTAAATTTAATTTAAGGTAAAGTGAAACAGATCGAGGAACATGATCGACATCGGTAAAAAAGATTTTTCTAAATACCTATGTTATTGATGTTTGTTATTATATTGACAGTCGTATCGAATTATATTGGGTACTGTACTAAATGGTATACTCCAATTGCCGTATTTGTATAATAATTATAAAGAAATTGAAATAAACCTAAATCTTTTATAATTGGATATCAATCGAAGTATGAGAGCTCGATGCCATTTTGGTTCTGGTCTACGCTGGGTTACAAAATTTTGTTGAAAAATCCAAATTCCTAAGTGCTCACGAGTCATGTGTCAAAATTTTAGACGGTTTGATCCAATACTCTTAAAAAAAAGTATCTTATTCTAATCGACCGATTTCAGGGGGGTTTCATTTCATCTTAAAAGATATAAAGAGAAACCAGACAAAGTAAACAAAAAAAGTAATAATTCTATATACACAGAAGTTGAACTCGAGGCTATTTTTAGGATATGAATGCAGACAGTATCCAACAATGAAATTAGGCCATCGGCATAAACAATAAATAATAGCAATCATTAACCTAAATAGACCTTTAGCCTTCAATCGGATACGATTTTACATGTCCGATTGAATTGAAACGATTTCAGGTGGAGAAAGGCGAAGATTTTGCAGAGTAGTTAGAGCTTAACTTAACCCTTAAAGCTCGTTAGCTCTGCTACGGAGACATTCATCATAACGTATCAAAACTTGTGCTCTACGAGTGCTTCCCTAAGGGTTAAATTTAATTTAACTGATATAAAGAGAAACGAGACAAAGTAAACAAAAAAAGTAATAATTCTATATACACAGAAGTTGAACTCGAGACTATTTTTAGGATATGAATGCAGACAGTATCCAACAATGAAATTAGGCCATCGGCATAAACAATAAATAACAGCAAGCATTAACCTAAATAAACACAGCCATCAATCGGATACGATTTTATATGTACAATTGAATTGCAAAGATTTCAGGCGGTGAAAGGCGAAGATTTTGCATAGTAGTTAAAGCTTATCATAACTCTTAGCGGTTCGTTAGCTCTGCTACGGAGACTTTCGTAATAACATATCAAAACTTGTGCTCTACGAGCGCTTCGCTAAGGGTTAAATTTAATTTAACTGATATAAAGAGAAACGAGACAAAGTAAACAAAAAAAGTAATAATTCTATATACACAGAAGTTGAACTCGAGACTATTTTTAGGATATGAATGCAGACAGTATCCAACAATGAAATTAGGCCATCGGCATAAACAATAAATAACAGCAAGCATTAACCTAAATAAACACAGCCATCAATCGGATACGATTTTATATGTACAATTGAATTGCAAAGATTTCAGGCGGTGAAAGGCGAAGATTTTGCATAGTAGTTAAAGCTTATCATAACTCTTAGCGGTTCGTTAGCTCTGCTACGGAGACTTTCGTAATAACATATCAAAACTTGTGCTCTACGAGCGCTTCGCTAAGGGTTAAATTTAATTTAACTGATATAAAGAGAAACGAGACAAAGTAAACAAAAAAAGTAATAATTCTATATACACAGAAGTTGAACTCGAGACTATTTTTAGGATATGAATGCAGACAGTATCCAACAATGAAATTAGGCCATCGGCATAAACAATAAAAAACAGCAATCATTAACCTAAATAGACATTTAGCCATCAATCGGATACGATTTTACATGTTCGTTTAAATTGAAAAGATGTCAGGCGGAGAAAGGCGAAGATTTTGCATAGTAGTTAGAGCTTAAGTTTAATTTAAAATGTGTAAGAACCGTTATACCGGTTACATCGATTACTCGGCAACGAGTCATGCGCCGTAATTACGCTTATAATACGAATAGAATGTACCAGTCGGTGGGTGATTTATCGTCTACCACGCTGTGCCAGGCCGCAACCAGCGAGTCCTTGTTTTTCGTCAAGTTGACGGACATTTTGGTTAGCTCATAATACAGGGACGAGCGAAGGAACCAACTCGACACCTTGCTAGAACTGTCAAAATCTATCACTCCATTATCGCGGAGTCAAACCACGCCCACTTTTTACCGTCGAACCCTCCGGAAGGACCGCGGCCACGGAATACGTGCACCAAAGAGTATTAGATAGATAGGAAGGTAAGCGTATACTGACATCAGCGCCATCCCGTGGTTTGGTTATGTACTAATTTCAGGTGGCGCGTAGAGTTCTAAATCCAGTAAGTTACGTCAGAAACGAAGAGAAATTCTCGGTAATTTATCGGTCATTTCTCCAAAGCCTTTTTTATCAAGAAATTATGAGAATTTGAATTTTTCAACAGAGCGAACGAGAGGTTTCGATTAGCTATAGAGAAACATCGTAGAGGGGAATTTCCGTTGTACGTTCTCCGTAGCCAATCAAAACCTCCCATTCGCTTCGTCGCAGAATGAAATATCAGTTCATTTGAAACAAATCGCATGGAATTTTCCGTGAAGTTATACATACGTGAATATTTTGAGCTGGAGGTAAATACGACCCTATAATCAATATTTTCTAATAGTAATTATTACTCTTTAGCTTGAACTTTAAAGTTGATTGAAAAAAAAAAGTTATTTAAACGAAGAAACCTAAAGTATAAATAACAAAATTAACGTTCTCTTAAATTCTGAATGTTCCCGGTAACTTACGGTATGTTTCACAGTTACCTTCTCCAATTTAATGTTACCGAGAATTTTCGAACTCTACACCCTGTAGTATCCTGGCGACATCTATGATTTTCATTTTGTACCTTCTAGTCAATCTACCTTCTTTTGTTTATTTCAAATGTTTAAATCATTACAGTTTGAAATAACCTATAATAGCGTTAATAACTGCTATAATAATAGCGTGTAATGAACTTTAACGATAAACAATTACAGTAAAAAGTATATCTATTATTTATATTCTAAAGAAACTCAGTATATTGTCAGTGCGTTCTTTGTTACAATAAAATAAAAATTAGTTCACATTTTCCTATATTCATTTCACTATTCCTCAAAATATCTTATTCCTAGAAATATGAAATTATTCTACATTTCAAATACAACGCAGCGCACATAATTATTGTAAATTGTTTCAAACATTATGTACAAAACTAAAACGCTACATCGTTCGGTACATGAAGATGATGCATTAATAATTACTTCTGTTTATATTACGCTGAGACGTTAGCATAAATTTTGTATTTTCCTGTTTGTTGGTCTTCTCAATTTTCAAATTTGCCGCCAAATTCGCGGGCTACCCTTCTTGCCCTCGCTCGGGATCGAGGGTAGAAAGTGTAGAGAAAGTGTACACTCGTGGTAGATGTCCTCGCAAAACGAACAGCGACATCTGCGTCACTTCCGTCAAAACGAACGGCAAAGTGTACACTTTTCGTAAAAGTCCTGAAAGTGTAGGCAAAACGAACAAACCTCGTATATTCTCACGTCCATGCTAGATTGGATTAAATTAGATTAAATTCAATCGTCGGCTCAAGTTGCCGCGTATAGTATAAGATCTGCTTAGGATTTATCGCAAAGACATGTTTTTACTTGGAAAAGTTGTGATATCAGTATTTTTTGTAACATGTCTACTGGAAAAGTCAGTGTTTGCTCAAGGAGGATATCTTCCCATCATTCTATGGCATGGAATGGGTAAAAGATGAGAAAAATCTACCTTTAATTTTTCAAATTGGAGTTTACATTCTACAGACAATATATGCATTAACTTTAAGTACCTTACGTTAAAGAGAATTTATATAAACAAGAAAAACAAGGGCCAAGAAAGATCGGAATAGCAATGGAATTCGTTACTTGTAATAATTTAGAAAGATGCTAGTTGTATAATGATAAGCCATGCGATTAATCTGTGCGAATAGATCTGTATAGAATTAATCGTTACCTGGTTGACACGTAAACGTAGAACTTAATTTAACTGCACACATTAGAAATCGCCATGATTCATTGTCATGTGTGTAGCTGCTTTTAGTGAACACTAATTTGCTGTAATATAAATTGTAGATAATTGGTACGATTTAACCCTTAGCGCTGCGCAAATTTTGGAACGTTATGACAGATGTCTCCGTAGCGGAGCCAATGGAGCGTTAATTGTTAATACTAGAGGATGTAACGTAAATGGTAGACATGCTTTATACAGCGTTATCGTTGGTGAAATAGGAGTCAAAAAGTTCTATACTGTTTTTTCCTACAGTGCATAATTTGTCTGCAATTATTAATTGAAGCACAGCCATCCAATCACGTTTTCTAATGGAATGCATAGTGGATGGTACGTCGGTGAGGCTCTACGCTGCAGACAGTCAAATGCAGACTTCTCGGCGTCCTCTCCGCCACGCGTTCCATTGGGGAACGTGATTGATTGGCTGTGCTTCAATTAATTATTACAGGAAAATTGCACTGCTACACCGCAGATAGCCAATGCAGCCTTACTGACGTCCTCTCCGCTATGCGTTCCATTAGGGAATGCGATTTATTGGTTGTACTTCAATTAATAATTACAGGAGCATTATGGACTATAGGAAAAAATAGTACAGGACTTTTTGATTCCTTTTTCAACAAGGATAGCGCCGTATAAACCATGTCGACCGTTTCTGTTACCGTATAACGTTTCCGATCCACTCGATTATTTCTAGGAGACAGTTGCTGCTTTTCCTTCAGTCTGGGCCAGATTGAGACGATTCTCAAAGATGAATTACCTGGGGTCTATATCAAATCTATTATGATTGGCAATAATGAAGTGGAGGTAATTTCTTAAGTGAAATTTTTTATGTCATGGTAATGTAAGTTTGCATGTTAAAAAATGAGAGTATAAATGAAAGCGAAACTCATTAATGAATATTTATTCTATTTCTTTTTATTGTTAATAACTAATTATATTCATCTATTTATATTCAAATGTTTTTGGCAGTATTAATATTAATTACTAATTATATTCTTCTATTGGGTTGCCTGGAAAGTTTGTGCTGATTTTTAATAGGTGGCATTAGTATTTTAAAATCGGCACAAATTTAACGGATAATCCAATATTTATATTCGAATGTTTTATTAGATGTAAAGCGAAGCATAAATAATAAAGCAGTTTCACTTCCAAGGTGCGAGACATCCATGTATCCATCTTTGTTATTATTGGAGTCTAATTCCGTTGGAAAATTTTGATCCGTGAATTGGCTTGTTAAGCAGTCTAGGCTAATATTTTAAATATTGGCTTTAATTTATAATTCCTTTTTAGGACGTCAAAAATAGTTACTTTGGAAATCTGAACGATCAGGTTCAAAAGGTTTGCGATGAAATTAAGAGCTCACGTGAATTTAGTATCGGATACAATGCTATTGGTTTCTCCCAGGGAGCTCAATTACTGTAATTATTACTATATTTGCTGTAATAAGATATTAATCGTCATAACTTGAATATAGTGGAGATAAAAAATGGTTCATTTTTAGGAGAGCTTTAGTGCAACGTTGCGATGGTCCACCGGTGTATAATCTTATTTCATTGGGTGGCCAACATCAAGGAGTGTACGGATGGCCGAATTGTGCCTCACTCGAGCACAAACTCTGTGACTATTTACGCAGATTACTAAATTATGGAGCTTACACATCGTAAGAGAATTTATTTTGCATTATATTACTGGTATTATTTTGTTAAAAGTTGTCATATACTGTGATATTAGGTATAATTTAAGGTGTAGTGGAACCCGTCACAAAATCTAAATCTAAAGTTAATATTTATGATACCGATGTCTGCATTGATATTGACAGCTTGGCTGTATTATGTTGTTCGTACCTTTAAATCTAAATTGCAATTTACTAAATCTAAATTATAATTCAAAGTGTAGTGGTACCTTAGGAAAAATCTAAATCTAAATTGAATACCTATGTTACCGATGTCAATATTTATATTGACAGCTGTGTCGTATGCCATTGATTATACTTCTAAATCTACATTATAATTTACTAAATCTAAATCTAAATCTAAATTGAATACCTACGTTATCAATGTCCGTATATATATTGACAGCTGCGTCATATAACATTGCTCGTCCTCCTAAATCTAAATTGTAATTTACTAAATTTAAATCTAAGTCTAAATCGTAATGTACTAAATTGCAATTGAAGGTGTAGTGGAAAACATTGAAGAATATACACCTCAGTTGAATACCAATGTTACCGATGTCCATATTTATATCGACAGGAGTGGCGTATTACATCGTTCATACTTTTAAATCTAAATTGTAATTTACGAAATCCAAATCTAAATCTAAAATGTAATTTACTAAATCCAAATTCTAATTTACTAAGTCTAAATGGTTATTTATTAAATCTAAATCTAGATCTAAATTTGTAATTTACTAAATTGTAATTTAAGTTGTCGTGGAAACCCTAGAAAAATCTAAGTCTAAATCGAATACCAATGTTACCGATATGCATATTTATATTGACAGCTGTGTCGTATTACATTGATTATACTTCTAAATCTACATTGTAATTTACTAAATCTAAATCTAAACTAAATTAAATACCTACGTTACCGACGTGTTTAACTTCACCTTAACGTTACTTTTGTTTTCAGGTACTTGCAAAATCATTTGGTTCAGGCTCAATATTGGCACGATCCTTTAGATGAAAGTAAATATGCACGGAGGAGCCTTTTTTTGGCTGAGATCAACAACGAGTATGAAATTAACAGTGTACGTTGAAATATTTTATTACGAATAATCTTTCATTTTATTTGCTTTCGTTGAGACATGGATTGCTGTAATTGTATGAAATATATTGTCGCAGGCTTTCTCTAGATTAAAAGAATTTCAATCTTCTAGGATTACATAAACCGTTTGCAGTCATTAACGAAATTAGTTTTGGTCAAATTTGAAAACGATACATTGGTTCAACCTATTGCAACGGAATGGTTCGGTTTCTATGAACCTGGCCAAGCGACTGTGGTGCAACAATTGCAGCAGACCAGACTATTCAAGGAGGTAAATCGCATGAAGTATTATCTTATTAAATCTGCCAATGAGTTTTAAATTTTCAGAGAAATTCAAAATAGGCGCGTTGCAGCTTAAAACGCCTTAAGGTGATATGAAAAGCGTTTAGAAATTTTATCGATGTCGACAAACTGGAATTCATCTATCCCCTTTTTGATAGAAACGACATTTTGAACACTCAAGTGGTAACATAAGCTGTCGCGTCTCATTATCGACATTTATATTTATGTTTAAGTCTTTTACAGTCTGCGTTGAGAATTATACGAACTGAAACGTTTCATATGTCATTTCGGTAAAGTAATAATGAAGAGATTGATGTAAAACTGTTGAAATCCCGGGAATTCATTAATCTAACGACTGTTTAGGACCAACGTCGCCATCTATGACGTTTAGCTACAACTAAATTTTTCTCTAAAGACACATGTTAGCCTCGGGACAAGCCAGTATTCTCTTGCAATTGTTGAAAGTATTTTCCATATTTTTCCATTTAATTTGGTAATATTTCATTTCATCTATCCCCTTTTTGGTGGTAACGACATTTTGAACACTCAAGTGGTAACATAAGCTGGCGCGTCACGTTACCGACATTTATATTTATGTTGAAGTCTGTTACACTCTACGTTGAGAATTATACGAACTGAATGGCGATGTTGGTTTGTTAGGATATAAACAGTCATGAATTCATGGGATTTCGACAGTTGTACATCAATCTCTTCATTATTACTTTACCGAAATGACATATGGAACCCTTCAGTTCGTACAATTCTCAACGCAGACCGTAAAAGACTTAAACATAAATATAAATGTCGGTAACGTGACGCGCCAACTTATGTTACCACTTGAATATTCAAAATGGCACGACCACCAAAAAGAGTAGATGAAATGCAATATTACCAAGTTAAATGGGAAAATATGGAAAATACTTTCACCAACGATTGCAAGAGAATGCTGGCTAGTCTCGGGGCTAACGCGGGTTTTTGGAGCAAACATTTAGTTGCAACTAAACGTCACAGATGGCGACGTTGGTCCCAAACAGTCGTTATAATAATGAATTCCCAGGATTTCAACAGTTTTACATCAATCTCTTCATTATTACTTTACCGAAATGACATGGAACGCTTCGGTTCGCATAATTCTTAACGTAGTCTGTAAAAGACTTCAACATAAATATAAATGTCGGTAACGTGACGCGCCAGCTTATGTTACCACTTGAATATTCAAAATGGCACTACCACCAAAAAGAGTAGATGAAATGCAATATTACCAAGTTAAATGGGAAAATATGGAAAATACTTTCACCAACGATTGCAAGAGAATGCTGGCTAGTCTCGGGTCTAACGCGGGTTTTTGGAGCAAACATTTAATTGCAACTAAACGTCACAGATGGCGACGTTGGTTCGTCAAAACATAAACAGTTATGTTAATTGTTAGTTTTAAGTTACGTAACTGTTAGGTTTGGTGTTCGGTGGGTTGTTAACGACACGTGTATTTTTTAATTTCAGAATCGTCTCGGCCTACAGGACATGTACTTGAATCAAATCGACTTTCTCTCTGTGCCCGCCAATCATCTGCAATTTACCGACGAGTGGTTCGTCGAGAAAATTGTTCGAAAGTACCTCAAACCTCCGATCCCTAAGTCGTGTGTACTTGGTGCGAAACTCTGCCCTGAAGAACCGAAGTCATGAACTAATAGGGAAAGAAGTTCTCTCCCGATAACTATTTAGCGATATATCTGTAACTGTGATTACTCTTTGAATACTATTTTTTATGTATGTATCCATGTATTAGTAATTTGCCGCGAAACTCTACAGTTTCTTGACTTTAAGAGGTAATTTTATACCGTACGATACCTTAGTGATAGTATCAATGCTTTTTTAATTGAATAAGATGATTATATTTACATGGATAATATTGTCGTTTTGTATGTAAATAAATAAATAAATAAATATTAGAAGGACTGGAAAGAAATCCATTATTTATATACTTGAAGTTTCGGACAGATATATTGGATTTCTTTCCGGTCCTCTAATATGATATTTTAGAATGTAACGTGACATGAAAGGGTCATTCTATATATAACAATGTGAAAAATGTTTATAACAATTTTCTCCAAACTGGGTGCACCGATTCATCTGAAACTTTAACACTTAATTATGGAGGCCCTAAGGAAGAACGCGATGTTCGTGAAATTTCATTTTTCTAAGAAAATGTTTTTTTTTTGGTTCTTGTCCGAGATAAATACAGACATTTGTTTCGAAAAATGAAATTTCATGAGTATCGGGACTTTTCTTATAGTCTTCATGTTCATGTTGTAAAGTTGGACACGATTCGGTACAGCCAGTTCAGATAAAAGTTGTATAAATGAAATCTCTTTGACGTTACTTTCACATCACCTTAAGATGATACGGAAGTGTGTTATGTATACATAACAAAAGGAAGAACAATACAATACCCAATATAATTCGTTACGGCTGTCGATGTGAATACGAACGTCGATAACGTAGGTATTTGGGAGAATCTCTTTTACCGACATCGATCAAATTTCTCGACAAGTTTCACTTCACCTTAATATAAATATAAACATGGGTAAGCGCTGTTTCGTATACGCTATCAGATAGAATAATTCATTTTTAACGACTTTGATTAAGTTTTTCGACAGATTTCACGTTTTAATAATGACGGTGTCGATTATTTGTTATGAATGCTGGATTGTGAATAGTGGCTTTAATGATAATAACGATGTGCGATAATTCAGAGGGCGAAGTGGATTTCATGAGGACAACGGTCGGTAAGTCAGGTATTCGGACTTAGTCGGTATTGAAGCATCGAGTGGCAACTTTTTGCTTAACCTTCTTCAAGAAGTAGTGCAAGGAAATAATGCCAATGGTCGATTCGGCAGAAAGTGACTCCAAAATTGGAACAGAGAGAGGACTGATGATAAATTTTTGGTAACTTATCGGTAATTTCTCCAAAGCTTTGTTTCCCGAGAAATTATGAGAATTTCAGATATGCAAGGCGCTGAGAAATTTAATCGAGGTCGATAAATTAGAATTCATCTTTACGCTTTTTGGTGGTAACGTCATTTTGAATACTCAAGTGGTAACATAGGTTGGCGCGTCCAGTTACCGACATTTATATTTATGTTGCAGTCTTTTGCAGTCTACGTTGAGAATTATATGAACTGAAGCGTTCCATATGTTATTTCAGTAAAGATAAAGAGATCGATGTAAAACTGTCGAAATCCCGTGAATTCATTATTCTAACGACTGTTTAGGAACAACGTCGCCATCTGTGACGTTTAGCTGCAACTAAATTATTGCTTTAAAAACATGTAAATTGAAAACCGTTTTAAAAAATCGAGAATGAAAATGTCGAACTACGCGAGTCATCGCATCAGTTGAGGAAGATAAAAACCAATAAAAACTGAACAGTTTAAAAAAACGAGGAAGAAAATGCCGCACTATTAAAGGAGGACGGAGGCCATAAAAACTGAAAACCGTTTAAAAAGACAAGAAAGAAAATGTCGGACTACGTGAGTCATCGCATGAGTTGAGGAAGACAGAGGAGAATAGAAACTGAAAACTAAAAAAAATGAGAAAGAAAATGCCACGCCAGTGGAGAGGGACAAAAGCCAATAAAAACTGAAAACCGTTTCAAAAAACAAGGAAGAAAATGTCGGACTACGTGAGTCATTGCATCATTTGAGGAAGACAGAAGTCAATAAAAACTGAAAACTAAAAAAAATGGGAAAGAAAATGCCACGCCAGTGGAGAGGGACAGAAGCCAATAAAAGCTGAAAACTGTTTTAAAAACCAAGGAAGAAAATGTCAGACTACGTGAGTCATCGCATCAGTAGAGGAAAACAGGTGAATAAAAACTGAAAATTAAAAAAAATGAGAAAGAAAATGCCACGCCAGTGGAGAAGGACAGAAGCCAATAAAAACTGAAAACCGTTTCAAAAAGCAAGGAAGAAAATGTCGGACTACGCGAGTCATCGCATCAGTGGAGGAAGACAGAGGCCAATAAAAGCCGAAAAAAGATGAAGACTGGGAGACACGAGAGGCGAGACTAGCGAGTGTCCTAGGGCGAGGTGAAAAAAGTGTGAGGAAAAAAGAGAAGAGGAGGAACGAACACCGAGAGAAATGAAAGGGATCGGGAAGATACCATGGCCGGACTATACATCCCATGCTTGGTGCCCCCATTAAGAGATTACATTATGAGTTCACTTTGTACAGTTCGTCTACAGTCTCTCCCCTTGCAGATGGGAGCTCGGAGTTAACGGTATGAACGCCCCCGTCCTCCCCGCAGACCCGCCATTGTACGCATTGCTTGCAGAGGGCTTCATGCATGCGGATAAATATGTTTTTATACAAAAAGTTACCCCCTACCCGGGCCGACATACGAACACGGTCATCATGTGATTACACCGCGCGAACTTGCCCCACCCCTGGCCTAACCGAGAAGCATTACCAGATGAGATATCTCGTCGAGATTCCATCGAGAACATTCCAAAGATGAGCGCCTCCGATCCTTCGAAGGATCGTCGCGAGCGCCGCCATTTCAAAATGGCGCCGTACTCGTTTACTTCACGAAAGTTCCAATTGTTTCTAACTACACCACTTTGACGCACCGAAAAATTACGGTTTTTCAAGTACTTCTTAAGAGTTAAAACGTTTTTACCCAAATTAAAGTTCAGTAAACTGCTAACTGTCGTCTATTTTAGGGTTATTACATCATCGCCATTGTCATTGCCATAAGATTAATGTATGTCATATTTTGTTTACTACTCGTATGCAAAAATGTGATTTTAATTCGTACGCGCACATTATCAGTAAATATGAATGTAATACATATTTAAAAAATATAGATAGACTCGAGTCCTCTTCTTTACTTTTAACGATTTTCCATCTTCCCGCCTTTCCTGTTTATAACTCATATTACATTATTAAACATTGAAAACTGTTAAATAATTCATGCTTACGTGACACGATAAGAAAATTATACCGTTGAACTTCTAATTATAGTACATGTAAATATGAACGTAATACATATTTAAAAAATATAGATAGATTCGAGTCCTCTTCTTTACTTTTAACGGCTTTCCATCTTCCCGCCTTTCCAGTTTATACTTCACTACGTCTCAACAATTTTCGATTTACAAGGTATGTACCTTTATTTGCAACATTACTAGACCGAAAGTACTAGTGATCTCGTTCTTTCATATAGCGAATATGTAATTCGGGGAATAAACCCACGTGAGAGGAAAGTGCGAGAAGTGAGCGCTCATCAAAAATACGTAATAATAACCTTATTAGAAGAAGAAGCGAATTACGTGATGCCTCATACCCATTTTCGTTAGGAGAAAGAGAATTTACTAGGAATTACAGGTTAGTTTTTGTTATTGCGAGGTTACATTACATTATTAAACATTGAAAACTGTTAAATAATTCATGCTTACATGACAAGATAAGAAAATTATATCGTTGATCTTCTAATTATAGTACATGTAAATATGGATGTAATACATATTGTAGAATTAATTTTCGGGTCGGGAAGGCATGAGAGACAAACACGCGACTTGTTGGATTGGTCGGTAAAAGTTAATTTATTATTAGCACATGGTGCTCAGCTCTAAGGTTCGACACCGACTACTGGTTGAATTCGAAAGACGGTTAGGCGATGGGATACACAGTCATACACACTTGTACATTAGGTGAGCTACGGTCAGGTGTAAATAAGGCAGAGGACGAACGAGTGAAGAGAGAGAGAGATAGCTCGAACTCCTGTATCCTACAATATTTAAAAAATATAGATAGACACGAGTCCTCTTCTTTACTTTTAACGGCTTTCCATCTTCCCGCCTTTCCTGCCTATAACCCCCTACCTCTCAACAATGTTCGATTTACAAGGTATATACCTTTATTTGCAATATTACCAGACCGAAAGTGCTAGCGATCTCGTTTTTTCATATAGCTAATACGTAATTCGGCGAATAAACCCACGTGAGATGAAAGTGCAAGGACTGAGCGCTCTCGTCAAAAATACGTAATAGAAGCCCTTATTAGAAGAAGATGCAAATTACGTGATGCCTCAGACCCATTTTCGTGAGAAGAAAGAGAATTTCCTAGGATGTACAGGTTAGTTTTTGTTACTGCGAGGTTATATTACATTATGAAACATTGAAAACTGTTAAATAATTCATGCTTACATGACACGATAAGAAAATTATATCGTTGAACTTCTAATTATAGTACATGTAAATATGAATGTAATACATATTTAAAAAATATAGATAGACACGAGTCCTCTTCTTTACTTTTAACGGCTTTCCGTCTTCCCGCCTTTCCAGTTCATAATTTCACTACGTCTCAACAATGTTCGATTTACAAGGTATATACCTTTATTTGCAATATTACCAGACCGAAAGTGCTAGCGATCTCGATTTTTCATATAGCGAATACGTAATTCGGCGAATAAACCCACGTGAGATGAAAGTGCGAGAAGTGAGCGCTCTCGTGAAAAATACGTAATAGACGCTCTAGTCTCCATGCGATGACTGCTCGTATCCCCTTCAGTGATTCTTGGCTGGGATCGGTTGCTCGGCGAGAGGCTTGGACGCATCGACTCCGTAGAGCGCCGACTCGCGGGAGCTTTGTGAGGCTCCGCGAGCTCGCCGACAAAGCCGCGGAATAATAAGCTAATCGTAGCCGCGGTCCGCGAGCGCCGCGCCCAGAGCACAGACGCGCCGCCGACTCGGCAGGGGGCGCTCGGAAAGGAAAACACAGAGCTTCCCTCTTTATATCGCCGGGTTTCAAAACGTTCCCCCGGCCCATTGTCCCTGCTCTTCTAACCGATGACGGAGATCGGTCGGATGCGGGATTGGAGATGAGTCTTTGCTCTGGACCAAGAAGGCGCACTCGACTGCGTGATTGAGTCCGCCTTTTCCGTCGGGCATTGACGAGTT